ACTAAGCCAGGTGTGGCACTAAACCAGGTGTGACACTAAGCCAGGTGTAACACTAGTCAGGTGTGGCACTAAACCAGGTGTAACACTAAGTCAGGTGTGGCACTAAACCAGGTGTGGCACTAACCAGGTGTGACACTAAATAAGTCAGGTGTGGAACTAAATGAACCAGGTGTAACACTAAGCCAGGTGTGGCACTAAGCCAGGTGTAGAACTAAGCCAGGTGTGGCACTAGACCAGGTGTAGCAGTAAGCCAGGTGTGAGACTAAGCCAGGTGTGGCGCTAGATCTGTGTAGCACTAAGCCAGGTGTGGCACTAGACCAGGTGTGGCACTAAGCCAGGTGTAGCACTAGACCAGGTGTGACACTGGACCAGGTGTGGCACTAAACCAGGTGTGACACTAAGCCAGGTGTAACACTAAGCCAGGTGTGGCACTAAGTCAGGCGTGGCACTAAACCAGGTGTGACACTAATCCAGGTGTAACACTAAGCCAGGTGTGGCACTAGACCAGGTGTGACACTAGACCAGGTGTAGCCCTAAGTCAGGTGGCACTAGACCAGGTGTAACACTAAGCCAGGTGTGGCACTAGACCAGGTGTAACACTAGACCAGGTGTAGCCGTCAGGTGTGACACTAGACCAGGTGTAGCACTAAACCAGGTGTGACACTAAACTAGGTGTGGCATTAGATCAGGTGTGGCACTAGATCAGATGTGGCACTAAACAAGATGTGACACTAGATCAGGTGTGGCACTATATCAGGTGTGGCACTATATCGGTGTGGCACTAAACTAGGTGTGGCACTAAACCAGCTGTGGCACTAACCAAGTGTGGCTCTAAACTAGGTGTGGCACTAAACCAGGTGTGGCACTAACCAAGTGTGGCTCTAAACTAGGTGTGGCACTAAACCAGGTGTGGCACTAACCAAGTGTGGCTCTAAACTAGGTGTGGCACTAAACCGTGTGGCACTAAACCAGGTATGGCACTAACCAAGTGTGGCTCTAGATCAGGTGTGGCACTAAACAAGATGTGGCACTAGGCCAGGTAGGGCACTAGGCCAGGTGTGGCACTAAACAAGATGTGGCACTAGGCCAGGTGTGGCACTAGGCCAGGTGTGGCACTAAACAAGATGTGGCACTAGGCCAGGTGTGGCACTAGGCCAGGTGTGGCACTAGGCCAGGTGTGGCACTAAACAAGATGTGGCACTAGGCCAGGTGTGGCACTAGGCAGGTGTGGTAAACAAGATGTGGCACTAGGCAGGTGTGGCACTAGGCCAGGTGTGCTGGGCAGGTGTGGCACTAAACAAGATGTGGAGCCAGGTGTGGCACTAGGCCAGGTGTGGCACTAAACAAGATGTGGCACTAGGCCAGGTGTGGCACTAGGCCAGGTGTGGCACTAGATCAGGTGTGGCCACCAAGTGTTGCTCTAGATCAGGTGTGGCACTAAACAAGATGTGGCACTAGGCCAGGTGGCACTAGGCCAGGTGTGGCACTAGATCAGATGTGGCACTAAACAAGATGTGGCACTAGGCCAGGTGTGGCACTAGGCCAGGTGTGGCACTAGATCAGATGTGGCACTAAACAAGATGTGGCACTAGGCCAGGTGTGGCACTAGGCCAGGTGTGGCACTAGGCCAGGTGTGGCACTAGATCAGGTGTGGCACTAAGCAAGATGTGGCACTAGGCCAGGTGTGGCACTAGGCCAGGTGTGGCCTGGGCCAGGTGTGGCTTGCCAGGTGTGGCACTAGATCAGGTGTGGCACTAAACAGGTGTGGCACTAGGCCAGTGTGTACTAGATCAGATGTGGCACTAAACAAGATGTGGCACTAGGCCAGGTGTGGCACTAGGGGTGTGGCACTAGGCCAGGTGTGGCACTAGATCAGGTGTGGCACTAACCAAGTGTGGCTCTAGATCAGGTGTGGCACTAAACAAGATGTGGCACTAGGCCAGGTGTGGCACTAGATCAGGTGTGGCACTTGTTATGAATGATTCTTCTAATGTTCAGTCATAATCGTTGGTGATATTTTGAAGCCATTATTAGTATCACTGAGTCTGGACCACCTGTAGATTAGGCACCCCGGCTTCTTTCACCTGATGACAACACAACACACAACCACACCACCACCACACACCACCACACCACACCACACACACAACCACCAAACAACACACCACCACCACCACCACCACACAACCACAAACCAACCACACCACCACCACACCACACAACCACACCACACAACCACACCACACCACACCACCACACCACACACACACACCACACCACCACACACACACCACACAACCCACCACACCATACCACACACAACCACACACCACCAAGCCACACACACACCACACACAACCACACCACACCACCAAGCCACACAACCACACCACACCACCATACCCACAACCCACACACCACACCACAAGCCACACACAACCACACCCACACACACACACAACCCCACACACCACACCACACCACAACACACCACACAACCACACCACACACCCACACCACACCACACCACCATACCCACACAACCACACCACACACACCACACCACCACACCACACACACCACCACACCCCCACACACACACACACAGCCACACACACACCACACCACCATACCACACACCCACCACACCACCACCACACCACACACCACCACACAACCACACCACACACAACCACACCACACACACCACACACCACACAACCCACACCCACACCACCACACCACACCACCACCACACAACCACACCACACACCCCACACCCCACAACCACCACCACAGCCACACACCACACAGCCACCACACCACCACACCCCACACCACACACACAGCCACACAACCACACCACACACCACCATACCACACAACCACACACCACACAACCACACACACCACCACACCACACAACCACACACAACCACACACACACACACACACACAACCACACACCACACAGCCACACCACACACCACACACCACACAACCACACCACAACCCACACCACACCACACACACAACCACACCACACCACAACCCACACCACACCACCACACCACACCACCACACCCAACCACACCACACACCACACCACACCACACACACACACCACACCACACACCACCACACACCCCACACAACCACACCACACAACCACACCACACAACCACACCACACCACCACACCACACAACCACACACACAACCACACACCACACCACCACACCACACAGCACACCACCACACCACCAAGCCACACAACCACACCACACAACCACACCCACACAGCCACACCCACACAACCACACCCACACACACCACACCACCAGCCACACCACCACACACACCCACACCACACACACACACCCACCACACCACACCACACACACACCCACACCACCACACACACAACCACACACACCACACACCACACCACCACACCACACAACACCCACACCACACACACACACCACACCACACACACCACACCACCAAGCCACACCACACCCACAACCACACCACACCACCACCACACAACCACCACAACCACACCCACACCACCCACACAACCACCACACAGCCACCACACCCACACCACACAACCCACACAACACACCACCACCACACCACACACCACCAACCACACCCACACACAACACACACACCACCAGCCACACACAACCACACCACACAACCACCACACCACACCACACACAACCACCACACACAACCACACCACACACACACACCACACCACACAGCCACCACACCACCATACCACACACCACACACCACACACCACACCCACACAACCACACACCACACACACCACCACACCACACCACCACACCACATACCACACAACCACACCACACACACCACACCACCACACCCCACACACCACACACAACCCACCACACAACCACACCACATAACCACACCACACACAACCCACACCACACCACCACACACAAACCACACACAACCACACCCACAACCACACCATAACCACACCACACAACCACACCACATAGCCACACATACACCACACCACCACACACACCACACCACACACACAACACACAACCACACCACATACCACACACACCACACCACACACACCACACAACCACCCACACACCACCAGCCACACACAACCACACACACACACAACCACACCCACACACCCACCATACCACAGCCACACCACACAACCACATACACCACACCACCACACCACACAACCACACCCACCCACACACCACACACACACCACACACACCACACCACCACCACCCACACACACAACCACCACACCACCACCACACAACACCATACCACACCACAAAACACCACACAACACACCACAGCATACCACACCACAAAACACCACACCACACACCACAGCATACCACACCACACTGCACCACACCATACCACACCACACCACACTACACCATACCACACCACACTACACCATACCACACCACACCACACCACACCACACACCACACCACACCACACTACACACCACACCACACTACACACCATACCACACCACACCACACCACACAACACCACATCCACCATACCACACAACCACACCACACCACCATCACCACACAACCACACCACACAACCACCACACAACCCACATCACACAACCACACCACACACAACCACACCACACCACCACACCACACAGCCACACCACACCACACCCACCATACCACACAACCACACACACAACCACACCACACAACCACACCACACAACCACACCACACCACCATACCCACACCACCATACCACACAACCACCACACACAACCACACCACACAACTACACCACACAACACAACCAAGTAGGTTTAGGATATTCAATCAGGTAAAATAAACTAGGGTGTCTAAACTTCAGGTGGTCAGTACAATAACCATGTACTTATTTTAACTGTTACTATGGTTATTATTATCTTATTCCTTTACAGAAATACGCGAACGTCGGTGGGCGCCCAAAAGTTTGGGTCGTGTGGGTGTGCTGGTGGTGACGGCTCAGGTGCTGGTGGGCGTGATGGGCGTGACGCTGGCCGCCTGGTTCCTCATGTGGGCTCCCTCACTCAAGTTTAGGGAGGTTCCTCACTACGCTGGCGTCCCCGTGAGTAGAGGGGCGATTGTCTTGGTGGGGGGGGAAGAGGGAAGGAGGGAGGGAGGGAGGGAGGAGGGAGGACAAGAGGGCTACTGGTATGAGGGAGACAGGAGGTGGAGGGAGGCAGTGAGGCAGGAAGCCAGTGAGGGAGACAGGAAGGGGGGGAGGGGAACTTTTTTTTTTTACTGGTATTAACCCACCCGGACACAGGTCACCGACCCACATCAGGGCCCGGGGGGGGGAAAACGTAATAGCAATAACAATAATAATAATAATAATAATGATAATGATATAATAATAATAATAATAATATTTCAGATAAGTAAAATTTATAATAAAAATACAAAAATAAAAATAAAATAATAATGATAATGATAATACTGAAAACACTGTAATAATAATAATAATAATAATAATAATAATAATAATAATAATAATAATAATAAGGAACCATAAAGAAATTAAAAAAAAGATCATTAGTGAGAAACGATATATGTATGTTGTGTTGTCAATAGCAAGAGAAACAATTGAGACCCTGCAATTGTGTGTAAATGAGGCAGAAAGTCAGATGAGCAACCTGGGACTTGGTCACAATTTTCGTGGCGCCATATGGCAGCAGGGTCTACCATTAGACAACACATTATGCTTCCAATATCTTCCCAGGCGGTAGTACCTCCCTGTTTGATAGCTGCCTACTACCTACTACCCGAGAAAGAGGGAGGTAGGTAAGGTGGGAGGAAAAGGTAATTAAAAGGAAGGAAAGAGGGGGGAGAGAGAGGGAAGGGGAAGGGGGGAGGGAGGGATCAGCTCGAGAACATCTTGATAGAGCTTGCTGAAGGATATGTCTTAAAATACTTATACCCAGAGGACCTCTCTCTCTCTCTCTCTCTCTCTCTCTCTCTCTCTCTCTCTCTCTCTCTCGTACCCTGCAACGTACTGTACCTCACCTGTACCCTGCAACACACCTGTACCCTACCTTGACCTATTTCTCCGTGAGCTCGTTGCAGGCCGCTTTCTCTTGACGTGTGACAACCCCCATGAACTGCTTATGCTCATCGAAGTATACTGGTGTGTGTTACAGGGTGTAATAATAACAATAACTATATAATTACAACAAAATAATAATAATAACTATATAATTACAACAAAATAATAATAATAATAATAATAATAACTATATAATTACAACAAAATAATAATAATAATAATAATAATAATAATAATAATAATAATAATAATAATAACTATAATTACAACAAAATAATAATAATAATAATAATAACTATATAATTACAAAATAATAATAATAAACCGTTTAATGAAAAAAAATAAATAAAATGACTGAAAATCTACAGTGCCCAGACATGACCTGCTACAGTACATGCTGGATCACTGGGGAGTGGATGGGTCGTCTAACAAAAGTTTCCAGTACAAAATGGATAAGAAACACGGAGCGAACATACAAGTTATCCATGAATTACTGATAATGTTTATATTCTATTGGAAAATGAGTTTGGTCTTGGTCCCTTGTATGGGGGAGCCGAGAGGATCCCCTTTAACACACATATGAGGCCTATAGAGCACATGTGCAGGGGCCTATAACATTCGTCTGTAAGCTCGTATCACGAATTTCTATTAACCCTTAGAGCGTATCAGACACCCTTACCCCTGTACGCTCACATACTGTACTTGGTGTTGCCTCGCTCGATACCATGTTTGGTTCCCGTCTGTACGAAAACCTCGACCCGGCACCGCCCCTCTTGCACGCTTCCTCCTCGTATTCCTCTCCCTACTCATCCTCATCCCCCCTCTTCCTCCCTCCTCCACTTCTCTTCCTCTCCCCCTACTCCCCCCTCCCTCTTCTTCCTCTCCTCCCCCTCTTCCTCCTGTCCTCCTATTCCCCCCATCTTCTTCCTCCTCCTCCTCATCTCCCCTCCTCTTCCTCCTCCTCATCTCCCCTCCTCTTCCTCCTCCTCCTCCTCCTCATCTCCTCCTCTTCCTCCTCCTCATCTCCCTCCTCCTCCTCCTCCTCATCTCCCCTCCTCATCTCTCCTCCTCCTCCTCCTCCGTGTCGCATTAGGATGGAGAGCGTAAGGGAGAGGGGTGAGAGGTTGTGGGGAGGAGTACAACTAACACCTGTGGCCACTAGATCCTTGTTCGGTATGCCGGGCTGGAGGACGCCCGGGTATGGACCAGGCAAGTGGACCACACACCCCCGGTCCACACGCCCTTGTCGACCCCGCCTCTTTGCAACTGTCCTTCGCCTTCTGGAGTGTCTCTCTCTCTCTCTCTCTCTCTCTCTCTCTCTCTCTCTCTCTCTCTCTCTCTCTCTCTCATATATCATTGTTTTCTAAATCTCCTTCTGTCTCCATACCACTTCTCACATCCTCTCATTCCCAAGATGTCACCACAATCCCCGTAGCCAGGTCACCCATAGGTCACTGACAGGTCACCCACAGGTCAATTAAGAAGAGGCAGGTAGGGAGGAGGCTACTCATTTAAAGTCACTTCCTGGTCCTGAAAACTCCAACTGAATAAGAGAGTTTATTAAAGAGTTTCAGTACAAATACAGATCAAGGAGTGACATACAGGTGTAACGTCAGGTAAGTGGCGCCTCTAACACAGGTTGGTAAATAGAACGGGAAATTACTTAGTGTTAATATAATCATGGGATCACACTTGCACCTATAACACCTGCTGTCCTCACACTTGCACCTATAACACCTGCTGTCCTCACACTTGCACCTATAACACCTGCTGTCCTCACACTTGCACCTATAACACCTGCTGTCCTCACACTTGCACCTATAACACCTGCTGTCCTCACACTTGCACCTATAACACCTGCTGTCCTCACACTTGCACCTACTGTATAACACCTGCTGTCCTCACACTTGCACCTATAACACCTGCTGTCCTCACACTTGCCGTACAACATATATATCTCAGTAGGTGGAGCTGGCAGCTGGAGGGTAAAAATTCCACACTCGGGTTCAAGATTCGTGTACATGTTGTTCCCAGAAGTGGCGTCGTCAGGGCGTGATTCTCTCTCTCTCTCTCTCTCTAAAACACTATTTGGTGGGATGAGGTTCACTATTTGGAGCGATTATGTTTGGTTAGGTTAGGTTAGGTTAGGTTAGGTTAGGTTAAGTTAAGTTAGGGTGGAGATTTTTCAGGCGAACCCAGTTTTCAAGGTTTCTTATTTGTAATCATTATCTTGACAATATCATTCACATTGTTTACACTCATTAGCGTCACTGAGGCTGTGTTAATATAAGTCTTTTCTTGTTGATCTTATAGCTTGTCATTTAAACTCGAATATATTTCAATGCACAATAATTTAATGAGTTTTGTTTTGGTTTTTAGAGAGCTTTCGTGGAGTGGCCTCTATACCGATATGTTGACCAGCTGTTGTCAGTTTTGAGAAACTTTGAATCATGTATTATGATTTTAGTGGTGGTTGTTTATCCAGTGTCAATGTTAGTTCCGGGTTGTAATATCTTTGACTTCGTAAGATTTCCCTTTATATTAGTCAGTATATGAGTTATTTATGTATTTTTCGCAATATATATGTAACATAGCGTATATTACTTAGTAACATTATCTTCCGCGTGTTTTGCTGTAAGTGTCGCCATATCGGGCTGTGGACTCTGTGCACTGCGGTAAGGTCGCGGGATGACGTGCAGCGCGGCCTTGTAGTGGCAACAGTGTCGGAGGCTCGACCGGTTACCCGCCCACCTTTGAGGCTAACTTACTTAACGCATCTATGATAATACAGTATTGTCTTTTTTTGATCAAGCTTCAACGCTGTCGAGTCTGAAAGAGTTTTATAAGTAATAACACATAAGAATGCAGTAGTAAGGACTGGGGTCGAGACGAGGCAGAGTTGATGCCTCAGAGGTCGAGGAACTGAACCAGTTTTTATAGTGACGTTGTCCCTCAGGTGTTCCTGGCGGGGGTGTTCGGCGCCATTCTCATCAGCTGCTTCCAGAGGCGGCGGCACCGCTCTATTGCCAACATCCTCAAGGTTAGTATTCTCTCTGGTTCTCACTCATCTAATATAACTCAATATTGGTTATAAAAGCTTTAAATACTTGTAGTTTTCACGACAGAAATCGGTCAGATGCAACTTTTTTTCTCTTCAAATGATAAAGTCAAAGGTTCATGGTAGGGTTGGTAACAGCGTATTATCGCGTGGCCGCTAACCAGTTTAGGAGCTAGACGGGAAAGATTTTTGCCTCCTCCTTTAGCGCTGAAGATAATTGCTGAGAAGATCAATTTTTATCATTATTTACTGTGTTAGTAAAGATGGTGGTACTCCTCAGGGCGTGGTGGTGGCGTTGTGCTGTATCAGCGTGGTGACATGCCTGTGTGTGTGCATCTTCACCGCCCTCCACCTCACCCAACTGGCCTCCATGACCTGCCACACACAACACACAGCCCTCTTACACCCGTCCACCGGCACGGGGGTCCACCTCGCTGCAATGAAGGGAAGTCAACAGTACGGACTGACCACTCCCATCCCTGTGAAGGTGCCCACGTCCAGGCAGTATATGGAGGGAATCGAAGATGACGAAGATGAGAGCGAGGGCAGTGGACGAGAAGCGAGGGACCTGCCGCATGATGATGACGTCGACGAGGCTTTCGAATTCGAAACAGTTACCCTGGCCACTGTGGCCGCGGGCAGGGAAAATGATATCGTACTGAACGTGACGTTCTGTGAGTGTGAGAAGCGGGGACCCACGTGGGTGAGAATGCTCCAGTACCCCAACCTCTCGTGTCTAGAGGTAAACAATATTCTTCCTGTGCTCTTCGTGGCGTCCTGTGTCGTCACCGCTGTGGGGGCGCTGCTCTCGGGGCTCATCCTCTACCTGCTGTGGTCCCTCAAAAATAGTTTCTACGGTGCTACCAAACCGCACGAAACTCGCCCATTCATATTTACAAGTAATTTAAAAAATAATAACAAAGCCAGCAATGGTTCAGGGTCCAAGGTGTCGAATGGGGACTCTCAATTTAGGTGACGAAGGTGACCACTGAACCAGAAAATGACTGAGTCAAAAGAAAGTGAAAAAAAAATATCAGCAGCAACTGATGTGACCAGTAGCAAGTGACTTTACCTGAAAGAAATGACACTACCAGTCCGTTGTAACGGTAGTGAAGGTTCAGGCTGTGGGCCACAACCTGTGTACAGTAACACTAACTGCAGGTCAGATTTGTACCGTGTACAAACTAAATAATAAAAGTCCACAAACAGTATGAGAAGCAGATGTTATAAGTTGATTTTCAATGTTAAATATATTTTTTAGTTTAAGATAAGAATCTCACACATTAGGCTAAGTAATTTTGTCATTCTTGACTGCCATAAAATACTGTCTCTTAGAAAATATATATATATATATATATATATATATATATATATATATATATATATATATATATATATATATATATATATATATATATATATATATATATATATATATATATATATATATATATGGAGTAAAAGTTTTTCTACCGCAGATCAAGAGTTGGAAACCGCAAAGGCAAAAAGAATATAATGAAAAAAAAATTAAATGTTAGACGTGCTGGTGAACTACAAGTAATGGTGTCATGTGTGTCGCAGTCTGTGTGTAGAGTTACTGATGTACTGAGACAGCGTAACAAAAAATATGTTGAAAATGTACATATTGTATTTATATTTATTTTTCTCTAGTTTGTTTGATCAGTTATTCATCCGACGCTCCGCGAGGCGAGGATGATGAAGGAATGGCGACCTGAGGTTAGGCTCTGTCTTACACCAAAAAGGTCATTGTTTCTTAAGTCATGTATAAAGTTCTGTTTACTGATTACAACAATGATTTCTCAACTTGGTTATACACAGCCAGACTCTCCCACACAGGATGATGCTCATGATGAAGTCACTAGTAGCAGGACGAGGCAAAATGTGTTTCCGGTAACTCGATCCCACGTAGAAAACTATGGGCGACTTTTATAGTTTTATCTGATATTTAAAAGCACACTTTCATCTTCTGTGAATACAATATTCTTGGTTTTAATGTGCCATGCTCAGATTCTATAAAAATTATGATAACTTTTATCAACCTAAGAAAATGTTACTTGTAAAAACGGCGCATGAGTATCAATATATCTGGACACAGTTACGGTAGTGGTTGAAAAAAAAATAAAAAAAAATAAATAAATCCGATTTTCTCTTTAATTTCTTTCAGCTAATTAGCGGAAATGCGCGATTATTTTAGTCCTTATTCAATATAATTAGCCCAATGTAACGCCTCATTGGCTGGTGTTAAATATAATGGTCAACATCCACAAGCAAAACGGGTTAACCATTAAAGTCAAGTTAAATTTAAGTTTCTCTAAGTCAGGTTTTCCCCCTAGATAATATTTGGCGAGGTTGAGTGTATGACAGACACTTCTACAACAACGATGGTTCAAGATTATCAAATGTTTGTAGAATAAATATTACTCGTAGCTGAAGATGTGTGACTGCAACACTTAACGTAAATAGCAGTAAAATTACGTTCACATACACATTAACTATACTTTTAACAAGATACGTTCACTTAGCACCAGTTAGGAGGCAAAATTAACATACATTACTAAGAAGAGTCATCTGAAATTTTCTCTTTGTAAAATTTGGTAAAGTCGTCCAGGGCGTTGTATTGGTCAGCGGCATCAGGAGAAAGTACAGTACACTAAATGGTCTATCAGTTTAAACCCCAAATACGGTTAAAATAGTTGTTGAAAATAAGTTAATAGCGTAGCCTGGCTGGTAGATACAACATAACTAGAAACTTTGATGACAATATTAAAAAACAAACATCGTATTGCAGTAGTTGATTGATTCAGACGACGCTAATTAAACTCTGGGAATAATCTGTAGAGTAACATGGTGTGACAAATGATTTTTTCTTAACGTTCCCAAAATACAATAAATATGATTCTTGCCGATCTTGCCTGGTTCTTGTCTGTACCGTAGTTGTACATGAACAGTTAACTGGTGCTCACGTTACAAAAGCTTTACTGTAACATCTTACCCGTGAGACACTTGATAATAATAATATATAAGTGACCTTAATCCTCAATGTGTACCTTGTGTAAATATATAGATAACAGATGTAACATGACAAAACAATAATAAATAATTTATCTAAGTTATTGGTGTCATTATCCGTATTACTTACAGAATTTATATACTGTAAGCATATAAATACTATCTATTTATATCTACCTATCTATCTATCTATCTATCTATGTGTCTGTCTGTCTCGTGTTTTTTTCAGGATTATCAGAAAGGATGGTTGGGGCCTTGAAAGTGACAGTACTGTTGACTGCAATGTTTTTACTACACAAGATTTGTGTTGTATTCTGAAGGTATGTTTACAGTTGACGAGTTGTCCGGTCTTCTAGGACTATTCCTTGACACTGGGTCATGCAACTCGATAACCCAGGGTGTAGTCGTTGTGTTGGCGACAGCTTTTTCGCCTGAAACAAGTTCACGCCTAGGTGGCCCTTGGCAGGCCATCCTCGAACACGAAGGGCAACCATTATTACTGTCATTAATGTGCTTTAATAGCTAAGGTGTTTAAGCTCATAATAAGGCTAGTAATTACACTTACTTCTCCTCATTCCCTTCTTCTTCATTTTTTTATCTCCATTCCTTCCTTCCTCCTTCCTTCCTCCTTCCTTCCTACGTATAAACTGCTCCTTGATTCTTCTGTATATAGAAACTTCCATTTTCGACAATTGGAGACTTAACAAGTGACATTCAATACTACGGCATAACCTAACTTTGAACAAGTCAGAACTGTCAACAGGTAGGCAACCACTCGTTCAAATCTCTGTTTAGTTTTAGTTTATATAAAAATATGTTGGATATTAATTACAAAGTCTTAAATTTTATTTCAAACTTCTTCTAAAGATGTGCACAGAACATACGTAAATGATTTTAATTGTTTTACGTCACAACTTCCCGTCATTCGTAAAAATAAGACGATAAGATTTTGAACATGTAATAGAGACGTTATCTGTACCATTATCTCTCTTGACCAATCATATAATTTACCAATAATGAGGAAAAATACAGTTTACATTATCATCATGGTATTACATCATCACAGAATTCAAATGAATGTCTAAATTTATTTTATTAATAACATGTACACATATTTCTCAGGATTAATAATATATCTATAGTATTGTACACCTATATTATGCTTGTTATCTTATTCGAATTATTTATGTACAGTCAGCCAAAAAAGTCGTGTCTGCGTTCCGAACCCCGTAAATATTCGAGCAGGTAGGCCGAAGCAGCAGGGATAGTTTGGGAAGGTTGGTAACCGTGACTTGGGGCATGGGTTGACAAGGCCCATACGTAAAGGTGCCAATTGTGATATTACACATGGTGTAACATCTGTAATATATATTGAAATGCATCGTCAACATAAAACAAGCCTATAACATGTGAGAAGCGTTAGCAGCAATGACAACGTGCTACCCCGCCCCCTGCCCACCGTCCTACCACACTTCCTCCCCCGGGTAGGAGGGAGTGGAGAACTTATCACGTAATTAACATCGGAAAGAAAGACAGAACGCTGTGTTTTTACTGTATGTTTACTCTCATAACAAAACAGGATATACAGACCATGTCTGGCATTACATGGAGGCATGAGGTGACGTCGCTGTAATATCGGGAAGAGCATTTGTTCCCACAAGTGGTGGAGGTTTGGTAAAGGGGTGAGGGAAACATGTCACAGGTGTTACGCAAGGTGATGAACCCAAGCTAAACACCCACCAGCAAATAGTCATATCATCATAATCATTCGGTTCTCTGTATTGAGCGACAGGAAACTGTGGTGAGGTATTACATGTTATCACTACTGACAAACGCCGCTTTATTTATTTTTTTTTTTGGGGGGGGGGACACTCCCCTACATCCTTGTGTAAGGTGAAGCGTTTACAGCGCCCAACAGGGAAGCATGCTAAGTTCATGCTTGCCTTATGTCTCATGAGTTAAGGGCGTAGAAGCCTGAAGAGACAATGGTTTATGTCATCAAGTTATTGGAAGCTCCAACAACTTGTCCCTGAATACGATTACGCAACTTTCGACTTACAACAGGTACCTACTTTACTGCTAGGTGAACAGGGACTAATGGGGGCTAGGAAGTATGTCCAAACAACTTCCACCGGCCCGGGAATCGAACCCGTGACATCTTGCTTGCGAGGCAAGAGCGATACCGCTTCTACCACCGGCCCCCCACCACTTTATATTATCATAACCACGACGTTTCATAAGATTACACACACACACACACACACACGTTATGAAACGTGTTTCATCATTATTCGTTCCCCCAAAGTATTCCATTATCAAAGATGAATACGACATGACAACCTATATAAAATTATATTTCCATTTATTTGGATTACATGGAACCCATGATGATGCATAATGTTGTATCACAGAAAGACTTACACATGTAGACATTTAGAGACAGGTATTGATAAATGTTGGCCATAACCCACTTACCCGACATGTTATTCCCAATAATTTCCACTCGAAAGTTATATGTAGGATATGAAAACATGTAGTCAGGTAGATTATGCATTTACATTTGACATAAAGGTAAAGGACTAACACAAGAATCTAATTAGATGTCCAGCCGCCATGTACGTTAATAACCTCATTAATCCTCTCTGGCGTGGATTCCACAAGATTGAAGCATATATTAGGGCGGCGTCTCAGTCATTCCCACACTTCATTAGCATGTCGCGCTACAATTTCCCGGCTCCGTTCTTCGCCAACACCCCAGTTGTGAGTTATGATAGCCCATAGGTTTTCTATGGGATTTATGACACAACCTTTGGGTGGCCAGTTTATAGGTTGAATCATAGGATGTTGATCGAGCCACAATTTGACAGTGTTACTTGTATGCACAAGTATAATTGGTTCTTGTCAGGAATTGCCATCGCTCGAACAGTGGGTAAGAAGACCTCTTCCAATATGTGAATGTAGTCGTCACTCGTGAATCTCCCCTCCAACACCACCAGCTCCCCTGGTCCGTATGCCCACATCCATCCCCACATATTCACAGTGACACGACCACTTGTAGCTCTCTCGTCAATGTTCTTATCTTTGTATCGTGTATTAACTGGTCGCCAGCAGTATCGTGCTCCGGCTTTAACTGATGAGAAGCTCTTCTCATCGGTATATATAACATTGTGCCAGAATATTGGGTCGACGCCAAGGTATTCCAAAGCAAATCCAAGCCGAGCCTCCTTATGAGCTTGTGTTAATTTCTGTTTTTTTGCTGGAACGTAGAATTTATACCGCTCTTGTGGAGACGGTTTCTACTTGTTTGAGGATGGCAGGGGAGCATGAGTTCTCTGGTGAGGTCGATTACTGTTTTCTTAGGTGTGTTGTCTACTGCAGTCAGTAAACGGGCATCCTCGTCTTGTGTGGTTACCCGGGGTCTGCCGCTCCATGGTCTTGTCGTCAGAGAACCCTCCTCCTGCCACCTAGTGATCCACCTCTGCACTGTTTTCTTAGACACACCCATGGCGTCAGCAACGTCGGCAGGTGCCATGCCATCCTGCCACAGCCCGGTTATTCTGCCCCTGTCAGCTAAAACCGCACGTGCGTTAGCCCTCCCCGTGGCCATATCTGAGGAAAGAATGTGCGTTATAAAATAAGTTTCGTGATATATTAACATGTGTATAATATTACCTGTAGGCTTCAAATAAGAACATCACTATATATATATATATATATATATATATATATATATATATATATATATATATATATATATATATATATATATATATATATATATATATATATATATATAAGTGAATCACTGTAGGTGCGCGTGATCTAGGTATATGCTGATAACCACAAGGAAAGAAAAAACACGAAGTTCCCAAACGCTTTCGTGTAATTCACATCTTCAGGGTGAGTACAGACTCCTTGTGGTTATCAGCATATACCTGATCACGCAACTACAGTGATTCACTTGTATATATATATATATATATATATATATATATATATATATATATATATATATATATATATATATATATATATATATATATATATATATATATATATATATATATATATATATATATATATATATATATATATATATATATATATATATATATAATACAGATGCCTCCATGTAATACCGGACAGCGTTCTGTCTTTCTTTCCGATGTTAATTACGTGATAAGTTCTCCACTCCCTCCTACCCGGGGAAGGAGTGTGGTAGGACGGTGGGCAGGGAGCGGGGTAGCACGTTGTCATTGCTGCTAACGCTTCTCACATGTTATAGGCTTGTTTTATGTTGACGATGCGTTTCAATATATATTACAGCTGTTACACCATGTGTAATATCACAATTGGCACCTTTACGTATGGGCCTTGTCAACCCATACCCCAAGTCACAGTTACCAACCTTCCCAAGCTATCCCTGCTGCTTCGACCTACCTGCTCGAATATTTACGGGATTCGGAACGCAGACACGACTTTTTTGGCTGGCTGTACGTACAATTATGCTCATACGTATTTTATCCAAGCAGTCAAAACACCTAAAACAAGAGCAACATTAATTTCATACCACATAATATTCCCTGAAAACTCCGACACGTATCACAGAATCCGTATTACACTCCTCTCTTACAACAGATAAGATAGTAAACGTTTTAATAGTCTCCACGGCAATCGGTATTTTCCAAAGTGATATTGTGTCACGATCGGCCTCCAACAGCTTCCTCACCCGCGATCGTCCGTGGGTTCTTACTTGGGGGAATCCCTGCACTGAGGACCACCGCCCTGGGTACAGTGACGCGCACACTCCAGGGCGCGTGAGAGCTATGCTGTCTGCTAATTCTTCTCTCTTTATTGCACAAAATACAAACAACGAGAACTTTCCCTTTTAACTAAGCCCCGTGGATCTGAAGCAATGATTAATACAGAAGTTGCTTTCAAGAATACGGGCCTGGTGATTACAGCAGTGATTAAAAAACTATACATATATTAAACGATTATTTTTACGTAAAAGCGACGAACAGAATTGGATCAAACTTACATAAAATTTATAAAGCTTGTTAAAAGACACAAACCACGACTTCAGGCATGATTTTTTTCTAAACGCGATGCGAAACTATATTTGCCAGAGAGTCCTAATACGGTGAGATGGGAAATACGTGCGAGGTCAGTCTTCCTGAGGGTGGACGCCAGAGTACTATTGCCTCTCTTAAGGGAACACATGTTAAGGAAAGTACACCTACAAAACATCCTCACTTATATTGCATCTTCAAATTATTTTATTCAGCAAGACAGATCCCCCCCCCCCCAGCTGTCTCTCTTTTGATCCTATCGACACCAGAACACAAGTGAGCTGTAAACCACGACACACAACATAGGTGAGCTGTAAACCACGACATACAACATAGGTGAGCTGTAAACCACGGCACACAACATAGGTGAGATTGTAAACCACGACACACAACATAGGTGAACTGTTAACCACGACACACTACACAGGCAAGCTGGAAGTTTGAGTCACGTAAACCGTGAGGTGTCAGTCACGTTTGGCAGAGGTGAGTGAAGCGCATCACCACCTCCGTCATCACCCACACATAATCTTAACCCTTCAAAAACTCCTTCCCGGAACAAGCTCTTCTGAAATAACTTCCCCAGAGTTGTTTTCCTATTTTCCTTCGCTTTGTCTCTATCAGTGTCATTATCTTATTTTTGTGGAATGGATTTTTCTCAGTCTCAAAATCTAATTATCATTATTGTTAACTTGAAGTGTTCAATACTTGCTTATATAAAAAGTTGATCGCCACCGTGCGGTTAAACCCGAGTCGATTAGTGTCATTTACTAACCTAGTTTGTGCGCTTATAGTCCTTAGTTGTTATAGAACAGTAATACATTATACTGTATCATCAGCATATCTGCATAATATTTGTTTCTGAACAGTTTGCTTATGTTCGTTAATCTTAATCACTTACTGAACATTCTCAGAGAGTAGTTATTCAAGTACAGTACAGAAATCCATATAAGCAAAATCTGTCCAATTCTCCCGACACAACCCCCAGATGAACGCTAGTATCCCACGTGACGTCACTTCCGTCCACGAGTGGTAAAGGCACTACTGAAGTGTTTTGGGTAAAACAATGATGGGCAGCAGAAGTGGGACTTCCTGTCTCCCGTGGGAATGACTAGCATATATATAGGCAGTGCTCAAGTCAGTGGGCCACAGCCAAGCGCCGAGTACACACCTGCTGCTCCTGCTTCCAGGTGAGTGTTTCCCGTGAGACAACGTTTCAATGGTGATTGTACTGTGTATATCCTAGTAATGTAAAGTAATAGCTACTATTGAATTTGGTATGTGATATGATGTAAATCACTCTATGTAATAATTTATATAACGTTATAAATGCTCTAATGTAAACCTTTTGTCTGTATACAGATTTTTTGTGGGATTGAAAAACTCTTGCCTTTTAAATATTGCAGTAAGACTGTTCGACTACAGCATTAGTTGTGTTGTGTTCATAGTGAGAAATAGGGAATATTAACATCTGATAAACAGTTACTCCTAAACTTTCTACGAGAAAGTAGGTTGTGCAGCAGAGAGGCCTTAGACTAGTTTGGTTGGTAATGAACATATTATTACAGTTTTGACGAAGACCTACTGTACAGTGTTACATCCCCGACACCGGAACCTTAAATTCATGGGAGTGTTCTCCGTTTGGGCTCCATGGATGCTCTGCCTGTCATCTTGTCACTCGTCCCAGACATCCGGTAGTGGTAACCTCACACTGTGAGTGTGTAACTCCTGTGTATCTTTGGTTTAAATTTTTTCCCATACTTGACCTGCTACTGCATTAGGTTTTTAAGCATTCACTCCTGCGCTCAGGTACCAAACGTGGACAGAGAAACGTCACGAAGATTTCATTTAAGGAATATCCAATATGCCTTAGTGGCTTAGTTACACTACTGGCAGCAACCACACTGAGGATGTGGCTATGGTGTATCACTCGGACTTATCATTATCACCGAGTTTGTCATATATATATATATATATATATATATATATATAGCGAGAGAGAGAGATCCACAATGGAAGCATGGACAATGTAAATCTCAATAATCGAGATTTATCGAGATATATATTGTAAATAATCGGCCGGATTTAACTTATTTATTGTAACGTTAACTATCATATATCAGGGGCGGATCCAGGAATATCTAAAGGGGTGAGTCCAAGAAGTTGTGGGTGGGGGAAGATGGCGAGCACAGTGAACTCATCCGGCTGGGGGTTTGGTGGGGGGGGTGGGGGGCGCCTTTAGCCCCCCCCCCCATATATTTTTTTTTAATTTAGCCAATACCATGGGCATTTTGAAGCCATTTTGTAGCCATATCCACTTGATATTAGGAGATATTCTGAGGTCAATAGTAGTTACATTTTACTGTACAAAAACGCTTAAGTACATTACTGCATTAAAGAAAAAGTATTGACATTTTTGTCGGTTCGTTTGACCTTTGACAGTTTTTACTAGTTTCTGGGTCCGAGCGGTCTTGACTGGTAATTGTTCTATCATCCTGGTCACAGTTATTACCAAAGTCCAGCTTCATACACACTTTCCTCCTATTTCTTCTTTAAGTTGAGAAGGGATGAAATATAGTCTTGTGTGGTGTTTTTTCTGTATTAACAAAACCATGTACAGAGTCTGCCGAGACGAAGGATCTTGCATGCTATAAGGGCTAGATGTGTGTACTGAGTCTCGGCCAGTGACGGACTAACTCGACTCGCTCTTACAGATCGTGACTAGGGTTTGCGACGCCTTGAGACGCTTGGGTCCTGTGACGCCTTGGTCATAGCCCCATGATCGATACCTGTGGACTCTATTATAATAGGCCTGAGAAATTGCGTCTTAAGAGCGTCTCACACAGTCATAGCCTCACATGGCCCCATGCATCATGATCTATCCATATGGAATCAATTTCTAGCTAGTCTGGGATACTAGTGGTGTGATCTGTGACGTCATGTCAGCCGACCTCCTACGCAGTATGGAACCTACTACTAGTTATGCTAATGTTCTAAATAACACTAATAGTTGAATTAAATACAATCTTGTAGTGGCGTCTTGCTATTTCTGGTGAAACGGGGGGTCCGGACCCCCAGGACACCCCCCTGGATCCGCCCCTGTATATTAGCACTTTTACAGTTTATCATCAACACAACAAGGCGATTTATCGAGAACAACTTGAAAAAAGGTAAAAATGGCGGTAAATGGTGTTAGATAAACACTGGTGTGGTTTGTCAGGATGTGATGACTTTGAGTTGACTAAATGTTATTCGTGTCATTACTCGACCTCTATAAGATGAAATATTTCATTATTTACAGTAAGTTTAGGAAGTATTGTTCCAAAAATTTACCTTAGACTGAATTAATATTCAATATTCAGAACTATAGTTATTGATGGTGTGTGCTGAACCATGTGCAGGTCCTTACAACACACGAGGTTGTTCCTTACTGGCACGTAGAAGTCTAGTATTAATGATTACCTTGTACAATATACGGCTTGGTAGAAATATTATTTATACATATTATTATTCAACAGATCTTCGCTGCTACAAGAGTGAGTCCTCAGCACCAGCGACGATGAAGAGTATCACGTGTGTCTCAACCTTAACACTGGTGGCTGTCGTGTGAGTACTGGAGCAAACTGTTCTCTCTAGTATTGTAGTTTTGTATAAGATTAAAAATTGGATTGGACGTTTTTATTACTAATTTACTTGTTATTTATGTAAGCTGAGAAAATTATATGAACTTATGTAAACATTAGTAGATTTTTTTTTGCAGGTCATTTCTCGCCCTCGTGTACGATCCCAGAAACGCAGTTATATCTTTCATGATTTTTTTGCTGATGACTAATATAAGTACTTAATAAACGCCCAAATACTATAGCTGTTGAAGCGCAGTCATACATTATATCATCAGCATCAACTAATTATGTACTTCTCTTAATTTTTATTTGTTAATGACTGGTATAATTACTATTTTGAATACACGCTTCTTGGCGTCATCATTAACAACAGTAAACGCGCCTCTCATTAGCTCTGGTTCATTCTCCCTTGCTGTCGGGTTCGGCTGTGTTATGTTCCTCCTCCACAAGATAACTCCACCAGCATCAACACCTCCATCCCAACAACTCTCGACGTCATGCTCTCTTCTCATTCACATAAAGTACAGGGAACGGGTGTCTGCATACCACTCTCCTATCTAGTGCATCCTTCACCCCATCCTTCTATTTCCTTCTTGGTCATCCCCCCTCTCTCTCTCCTATCTTCAACCTCTGAATCACAAAAGCCTATTACCAATCTTTCCCTTCCCACTCTGTTCATCTATGTCCGGCTTCATTTCCACATTTTATTATTATAAAGTTTCATCTTTTTCAATCCACGCGTTGTTCTCAAGTACTGTACGTCGTTTTGTTGCTTTTAATTTGTTCCTCACTATTGTACCACAGGTGTGCGGGACCCGGCACCTGTTAGCTCAGTTACCAGTCCGCCGCTCATCCTGACATCCCTTGACACTGTTCTCGTTCCCTTTGCATTTCTCAGCGCACTCATTATCTTCTTTCCCTTCCATAGAGTGTTATTTAATCCGTCATCATTGTTACGTGGCTTCTCTATTAGGTTCAGAATACAGTATGATATAGGAATTTGTTGCCCCATCGCCAAGTGAATTAATCTCATAGTTCATTCCGTCTTGGTTCCTCAGCCTGGCATGTAACCTACACTCTACCTGGTCATCCCCTATCAACTGGGACAACGTCCATCTCACTGAAGAACAGAAACTCACAGTCAAGCAGGTCGACGATCTCCTCAACCAGTTCCTGAAGCAGGTGAGTGACAGCCACCTCTTCCACCACCAAAGACAGGAATACTTAAGTCACATTTGCTAAGGGATATTGAGGTAATGGGTTTACTAATGCCGTAGAGCTGTACCGAGCTTCTTACTTATGATGGTAAATGGGAGGTGTCAACCTAGTGGGAGCGAGGGTGTACGAATCCCAGTCCGCCTTCAGAAGTATAATACCGCCTCCTCTACACCCTGTCACACACCCCGTAATGGTCTATTAGTCCAGCGTTGTTTAGTCTTATGTCAATATGAAATATGTTTGAATAAGCAGTTATAGTTTCAGTCATTACTAGGATTGATTTCATGATCTTCACGCTCTCTAACTTGGTATACTGTACTGTACATGTATGCAAAGAAAAACTATATATTCTCAATTCGATATGTTCTTGTATATTAAAGGTTTACAGGAAATCACTATCAATTTGAAGTTCACTAACCTAGGCAGATACTGATCAATTATTAGCCTTCTAGACCGTAACTTATTCATAAGTGATGGAGTGTTAGGGACCGGTGTCGTGAACTCCTCCAGAGGCAGTCAAGTGTGTCCTGGAGATCTTGACCCTCCCTGTCCTTACCACTGTCTTATAATGGTAATTCAAAACATATACTAGTAACCTAAAAATCTTTGTGGCAAAAAATCCATTAGGTTACCGTTAGGGTTGTTAATCTTTATGTGATATAAGCTGAGGTGGAGATTGTTCAGGTGATCCAATCAATCAATTAAGTTTCAAAAAGATTTTTACCATATAAACATGAATTATTTTTTCCTTAAATGCACATTGGTTAAAATTTAGATGAATCATAATACAATATTGGTGAGGTAGTCTAACGTTAATAACAATACAGTAAGTAATACAGACGCTACTGCTGGTGTCTCTAGAGGCTTTCAGATAACGAAAGATGAGGCGGCGTTAAGTAGTCGCATGACAATACATTCTCAGTAGTCCTCATGACAATACATTCTCAGTAGCCTCATGATAATAAATCCTCAGTAGCCTCATGACAAAACATTTTCAGTAGCCTCATGACAATACATTCTCAATAGTCTCATGACAATAAGTTCTCAGTAGCCTAATGACAATACATTCTCAGTAGTCCTCATGACAATACATTCTCAGTAGTCTCATGACAAAATATTCGCAGTAGCCTCATGACAATAAATTATCAGTAGCCTCATCACAATAATATAGTTTACGAAATTATTACAAAGTCTAATAATTATAATCCATCGTTGTATTTCAGCTGGAAAAAAAGACCCAAAATAAGAACCCACTGCGACCTCATCACGATAACAATAAGAAGGTGGGTCCTGCCCAGGATGGAACAGTGACTCCTCCAGCAGACACTGTGAAGACTCCCGAAGAAACTGTTGCGGTGGTTACTGAAGAGAAGGAGGTGGTGGTGAAGGATGATGGTGGCTGTGGTGTGAAGCATCCAGTGGAAGGTCATCCTAAGAGTGGAGGATATGATGTGGTGCCCGTGGAGAGCCATCCTGTAGATAAGATTGCTTATACCGAAGGTGGAAGATATACTGCTGTAGGAGAGGTGGAAGACGATGTTGATGACACGATTTTCTTTCCTGGAGGTTAGAGATGAGGAAACTTCACAAACAACGATGGAAAGTATAATTACAAATATCGAAGTTTGACGAGGAGTTAAGAAACAAGTTAGCTGGTAATAACAAGGAAACATCCGAAACAGTGCAGGAAAACTATGAAAATCCCATACAGTATGTCCAAAGCCAGAATATGTCATCAGAATCTAAAGGTGTTCAGATATAGTTTTCAGTTTAATATTTATTTATTTCAATTTTAGTTACAGTAATATATATCTTAATCAATATTTTATGTATCTTTTATCACTAAGTTCCATTAATATGAAGATTTATCTCACCTGCTGGTAGTATATTTACCTCATCACTGTCATGTTGTTCTCATTAGTCGCAATAAATAATATGTTCTGCGTAAACGTATTTTATTTGTAACTTTTATGTTGGTAGGTGTTGCTTCCCCAGCTGTGGAAACCATCAGCGCTCTATCCTAAACTTGGTAGTCTTATCTGCAGTGTTCAGGGTGATTGAATAGCTTAAAAAATCTCCACCCCAGCTTATTTTACCAAAAGATTAACCTCCCTAACTCTAACCTAACATAACCTCAACTCCCAAATAACGTTAGGGTGGTTAATCTTTAGGTGAAATAAGCTGGGGTGGAGATTCTTAGGGCGATATTTTTTTCTCAGTTCTATTGTAATTGTTTAAATTGCCCGTAATAATGGTTCATGCTGCACACTAGACCTCACAGTACACGCTGATCAAAGTGTACAGATTTCAATCAGAAATGAGTGTGCTAGAATCAATGTTTCATGTTCAGAAAAGTTGTTAGATTCTTGCAGTAAATATGAGCCAGAAGCCTAGAATTATCACAGATCATTGAAGTTCATGATTCTAACGTTGCTAGATATTAAGAAAATTAGGCAGGGTCTACAGCAAAGAGGACTCACTCCTGCTACACGCTTCGTGCCAGTGATGTAGATAACCTAAATAAGTTGTTAACGCTTCATCAATCAGATCATTGAAAGAACAGTGGACTATCTATGGTAAAGACTGTTAGGTCTAAAATCTTATACTATACAGTCGAGGACCATACTGGGAATATTTATTACTAATACTTTATGTTACCCTCAGTAAAAGTTTATGTATGCATGATTGTACTGTATGGAACTTTGTCAAATAAATTCAGATCAAATCAAATCAAATCTTTGCTGTAGCTATACACCTGAAAAACACACTCCAATTTGTCTCAGTAAGGTCTTTTATGTATTGTGGTTCACTGTTAACTCTCACTAATGGCAGCTTCAAAGAGATATAAACAAAGGTTCAGTTTTATTCAGCATATCTCGTTCCATATATATATATATATATATATATATATATATATATATATATATATATATATATATATATATATATATATATATATATATATATATATATGTATATATATATATATTATCTGGCGAATGATTCAACCCACACGAATTCCATTGTCATTAAAACATCAGTGGAATAGAATTGAGATTCGTGTTTTGTAGATGACTAGAGTATTTTCCAATCTAGCATACTCTCTTAAAATACTTTAGTGTAAAAGTGCTGTTATACATTATATTCATCCTACTGTACATCAAATGAGCATTGGCGCGTTATTAATACTGAACACATCCAACAGATGCCAGCACTCATCGGTGTCTGCAGCTAGGAATAATCACGTACTGGCAAGTGGTGATTTTTCTTTCCCATCACTGGTCACACAAATCAACTCTCTTCCTTCGTCTCTCACCATCAGTCTTACTAATCATTGTTTTTTGACCGGATCTTTACTGTTATGTTTAATTGATACTAACACAAGTAAACTGACGGAGAAGAAGGAAACCGTGCAAAGACTAGTTATGAAGTTGTCCATACAAGATCTGTAGACTGTCCGCTGCAACACCACGACCACCCACAGTTGATGGTGACCACGACTACTGTCAACACCAGTTACCAGACCTACGACTCTCTCCAAGGAAAGTTTATTAAGACAACTGGTAAGAGCAGTGTACCAATAGTTATACCAGAATTGATGGTCACATTAACAGTTACAGCAGCCTGGGGTCACACTGACAGTTACAGCAGCCTGGGGTCACACTAACAGTTACAGCAGCCTGGGGTCACATTGACAGTTACAGCAGCCTGGGGTCACACTAACATTCATAGCAGCCTGGGGTCACACTAGCAGTTATAGCAGCCTGGGGTCACATTGACAGTTACAGCAGCCTGGGGTCACACTAACAGTCATAGCAGCCTGGGATCACACTAACAGTTATAGCAGCCTGGGATCACATTGAGAGTTATAGCAGCCTGGGGTCACACTAACAGTTATAGCAGCCTGGGGTCGCACTGACTGTTATAGCAGTCTGGGGTCACACTAACAGTTATAGCAGCAGCCTGGGGTCACACTAACAGTTATAGCAGCCTGGGGTAACACTCACAGTTATAGCAGCCTGGGGGCCACACTCAACAGATACAGCAGCCTGGGGTCGCACTGACAGTTACTGCAGCCTGGGGTCACACTAACATTTATAGCAGCCTGGGGTCACACTAACAGTTATAGCAGCCTGGGGTCACTGACAGTTCCAGCAGCCTGGGGTCACACTAACAGTTATAGCAGCCTGGGGTCACATTGACTGACAGTTAGCAGCCTGGGGTCACACTAACATTATAGCAGCCTTGGGTCCCATTGACAGTTACAGCAGCCTGGGGTCACATTGACAGTTACAGCAGCCTGGGGTCACACTAACAGTCATAGCAGCCTGGGGCCACACTAACAGTTATAGCAGCCTGGGTTCACACTAACAGCTATAGCCTGGGTCACACTAACAGTTATGCAGCCTGGGGTCACACTAACAGTTATAGCAGCCTGGGGTCACACTAACAGTTATAGCTGCCTGGTCACATTGACAGTTATAGCAGCCTGGGGTCACTGTTTATAGCAGTCTGGGGTCACACTAACAGTTATAGCAGCCTGGGGTCACACTAACAGTTATAGCAGCCTGGGGTAACACTCACAGTTATAGCAGCCTGGGGTCACACTAACAGATACAGCCTGGGGTCGCACTGACAGTTACTGCAGCCTGGGGTCACACTAACATTTATAGCAGCCTGGGGTCACACTAACAGTTATAGCAGCCTGGGGTCATGACAGTTACAGCAGCCTGGGGTCACACTAACAGTTATAGCAGCCTGGGGTCACACTAGCAGTTACAGCAGCCTGGGGTCACACTAGCAGCTACAACAACCTTGGGTCACTAGCAGCTACAGTAGCCTGAGTTACACTAGCTCAGCAGCCTGGGGTCACACTAGCAGCTGCAGCAGCCTGGGGTCACACTAGCAGCTACAGCAGCCTGGGGTCACCTAGCAGCTGCAGCAGCCTGGGGTCACACTAGCAGTTACAGCAGCCTGGGGTCACACTAGCAGCTCAGCAGCCTGGGGTCACACTAGCAGCTACAGCAGCCTGGGGTCACACCTAGCAGCTACAGCAGCCTGGGGTCACACTAGCAGCTACAGCAGCCTGAGGTCACACTGCAGCTACAGCAGCCTGGGTCACACTAGCAGCTACAGCAGCCTGAGGTCACTAGCAGCTACAGCAGCCTGGGGTCACACTAGCAGCTACAGCAGCCTGGGGTCACACTAGCAGCTACAACAGCCTTGGGTCACACTAGCAGCTACAACAGCCTTGGGCACTAGCAGCTACAGCCTGGGGTCACACTGGCTACAGCAGCCTGAGGTCACACTAGCAGCTACAGCAGCCTGGGGTCACACTAGCAGCTACAGCAGCCTGGGGTCACACTGGCTACAGCAGCCTTGGGTCACACTAGCAGCTACAGCAGCCTGGGTCACACTAGCAGCTACAGCAGCCTGGGGTGCAGCTACAGCAGCCTGAGGTCACACTAGCAGCTACAGCCTGGGGTCACACTAGCAGCTACAGCAGCCTGGGGTCACACTAGCAGCTACAGCAGCCTGAGGTCACCACTAGCAGCTACAGCAGCCTGGGGTCACACTAGCAGCTACAGCAGCCTGGGGTCACACTAGCAGCTACAGCAGCCTGGGGTCACAGCTGACAGCAGCCTACACTAGCTGCTACAGCAGCCTGGGGTCACACTAGCAGCTACAGCAGGGGGCAGCAGAGGAGGCTGTTCACTTTACGGTCTTTGCTAAAGCCACCACTGATGATGCGAGAGGACTTGTGTGGCCAGATAATCTTTTGCCCAGGTGTGAGCAGCTCACCCAGTGGCGATCTGAGATATCTGAGGCGGCCTGGCTTAAGCCTTCTGGCCTCCCCCGTCGACGATCACCGACATACAACTGCCCTCGTCGACAAACGTGGTTCCCGTCACAGCCACACATAGAATAGTCTCCGTCCCTTACTTTCTTGAGCCCGACGATGACCTGGCCAGAGGGGCACGGGATTGAGGCGTCGAACTCTTTACCAACGCTGACGGAGGTAACGTCGCCCACGTTCGTGCCGAGGGAACCGTCGAAAGTAGAACAGAGGATGTGGTTGACTGTCTGGAGGTCACTGCTGAGTCCGAGAGCGACGATAGCTGAGTGCCCCTGACGTGTGCATGTTGGAGACATGTCAGACTCCACTGCCACCACCGATTCCAACAACGTGGTCTGTAGAGGCAAACATTTCACCATGTAGACTTCACCCATTTCTTTGTAGATACTGATGATGGCATGATCTTCGGGACAGTCGACCCATCGACTCCAGGAGCTGGTGTCCTCGTCGAAAAGGACTGGACGTTCGTCTGTGTTATCCAAAGGCTTCGTGACGCAGTCATCATCTAAGAACCAACCTGATGCTACACTGACGCACCACAGCTTGAAACTCCAAACTTCCCATCTGATGCCTGTGGGTAGTTTGTCCGCCACAATTATTGTCATTAATGGAGCTCCAGGACAGAGCTTCAATGTTGACCTCACTGCAGATGACGTAGCTGAGGACACTGGTAACCCCGAATCCTGCAACTACGTGATCAACTGGACACTTGAACCAGCCGAAGTTATTTAGAATGCCTGACAGTGATCCCCAGGGGTTGGTAGGAGGAGCACTGACTAAGACATCAGTAGAGGTTGTTTGTTTTGACTGACGAGACTATTTGTTGAGGCAGTGCCATTAAGGGAGCTTGTGGTGTTAATTATTGTAGAGGCTGGGAGTGTGGTAGTAAGGGTAGCAGATATAGTAGGTGACTCATCGCCAGATATAGGTGTAGACTGTGTGGGGACAACAGTGGTAAGAGGCGATGGAGGGCTACTGGAAGTTTCAGGACCCAACACCGTTGTAGAAGAAGTGTCTGTAGTGACGGTAACGACTGTAGTCAGAGAGTCACTGTTTACAGGGACAGTTATAGCTGATGCTGATACAGTGGTTACCATCAGAGAACCAGGTGCTGCGGTTGTGATGCTACTCGCTGCAGTAGTGTCGGGATCCCTGCTTGGTGAAGGCACAGTGATGGACACCTCTGTAACATTCGAAAAGGTACTATCTGTTAGCTACAGCACCATGTGTGTGGCGGTACAGGTGGAGAAGAAAAGTGTTTTGGAAGTTTTGCAAATGGAAGAGGAATTATCTGAAGTTGTACATAGAGAGAAAATTGTATCTGAATCCTTCTTTAAGGTCCATATTATACGCTAATCAGAAATATTCCCAGTCTACTAAAAAGTATTGTATGTCAGTCGGTGCTACAACCGAGTATACCTAGAGTCCTCAACAATGCGGGTATATAAACAATAGTAAACAGTAAGGCAATTTGACAAAGGACAGCCAATAAAGTCATCAGAGGCATATTTCCAGTAGAGTTCCTCCCTTAAACATACTGTATACTTTATGTGTATGGAGGAACTACACCGACGACAGGCACAAGAAGTGAGAGAATATGGGTGAGGAGGTTCAGATGTAAAGGATATCAATAAATGAACATTTTTGGGGGTTACGAGAGATGGTTAGTGATGAAATGGAGTTATAATGTATGGAGAGGGCGAACTAACCTTTGAGATAACAGAGGTGCGAGAGGCCAGAAACGACGTCATTTCGGGAGTGGAGGAGACAGGATAGGCTGGTATCAACACCTACACTGAACCCCTCGCACTGGGGCTCTGTTGGTAGGTAAACACACACTTTAATATACTCAATACATAGAAACACAAAACCTCACCAGACACAATCATACCACCAAAACTGAAATGGGCAAAATAAGTAGTTCCCTCGTAAAATAATTCGCGTCGCCTGTAGTTTTAGTTTAACAAATTTATTGACAAAGCTTGTAGTACAGTTTGCGTATTCTGAGTAATTCAGTCAGGTCTTGACACTGAGGGTGGTATCACTTCTCACTGCTTACGAAGGACAGAGGTTCATACACAAAGAAATACAACATACTATTAACAGCTATATATGTAGAGGTCAGATTCATGTGGGTAATGTCACTGTTCACTGCCATGCAGGACAGAGGTTCGTACACAAAAGAAATACATCATATTCATTTGCAGTATATATAGGTCAGAGTCAAGGGTGATGTCACTGTCTGGCTGCCATGCAAGACAGTGGTTCATATACTGAACGCCATTCTAATTGAAGACTAATCAGTGTGGGCTAGCAAATTTGGGATAAACAGCAAGAATGTCCTCAAGTACCCCTGATTCAATGTAATAATTACAAAGTTCAATATACAACAAGCCAGGTGGCTCGGAAGTTCTTGGCAGTGCTCACATTCAATAAATATATAGTGTCTAAGTGTAGGCTTTTAAAGGCTATCACAAAGTTTACATGCTGGAGTGTTCCGGCAAGGGTAAAGCGTTACTAACCTGCCAGATGTGTCTGTATCCGAGCCTAATTTGGCCACGACTACATCACATTGTCTGGGGACGGAATCCACACAAATTCGATACGAAAGTTGTTCTCATTGGCAGTTATCACATTCCTTTTAATATCACATACAACTTTAGACATAGAGCCTGATGGGCTGTTCATTGATTTCAAAGCACTTTGAGAGTCACAGAATATCATCCCACCTCCATTTTCTTTGAGGTAGTCTGTGGCTAAGTAGATTCCAGTTAGTTCAGTTTGTGTTGTGCTGGCCCAGTTGTTCAGCCTTTGCTTGTTTGACACTATCATCTCTTTTTCTTTATATATTACAATTGCACAGCCTGTTCTACCTGTGTTTGTCTGCACAGAACCATCAGTAAAAGCATAACATTCACTTGATTTAATACTCTCTATGTGTCTGTTAATAGTTTCTTGTGTGACACATCTCACCACATCGGTGTTTAACATTTGCTTACTACCAACAGGAGTGCAATTAATAGGAACTGATATATCCAGCCAAGGAGGAATGGCATTAATGGGTTCGTCTGGGGTGATTGGGACATTCAGTTTCAAGAGATCTGCAACACTTTTATGAAGCCACGCCCCAAAGAGAGTCTTTTGTGGAAGGTTAGCGAGATAGTCGGGATTACTTAGATAGAACATTAACTCAGTTTGAGCTGTAGTTTGGGGACCATTGTTCTTCAAAATTTTGACACAAAACATGGTATTAAGTAGAGCTATCCTCTCAGATAGGAGGGCAGTCCGAGCTCTTTCCTCATGTTTACAATTCTGGTTGATTTTGGGCATCCTAGAATGATGGGCATAGCTTCATTTTGCACTACCTCAAGACTGTTGAGTTGTTTAGGCGGAATAGTCACAAGATGGAGAGCATGATAGTCAACTACAGAACGAATGAAGTGAAGATAGAAAGTACGAGCATAGGTGATGTTAATTCCATAGCCCTTGCTAACAAGGGTTCTGAGGGATTTAATGCGTTGCATTAGTTTGGCACGAAGGTTGCCGACAAAGTTTGCATCATTCACACAAATTCCAAGATATTTATAGGAGCTACATAGTTCCAAGGGCATGCTGTTAATGTTAAAGTCAAGAGGCAAAGGGTGAGCAGGACGAGGATTGAGGACCCTCGTCTTGTCAACAGATATTATGAGACCACATTCCACAGTCCTCCGAGCAAATACGTCCAGCAAGGCTTGGAGTCTGAGCTTGGTCTGAGTCATAATGCAGATATCATCAGTATAGCATATTACAGCCTCGTTTGGCTGAACTGGAATGTCAGCAATAAGCTTGTGCATCAGTATATTAAAGAGCATAGGACTTAACACTCCTCCCTGAGGCATGCCAAGCTCAAATGATCTCATTCTGGCACTTTTAACTCCCCTAAACAAAACACTAGCATACCTGTTGGACAGATAACCCTTTATCCATGTCAGGAGGTTACCTTGGATGCCAAAATTAGCTAGTTGCTCAAGTATAATGTCCCTATTAGCTACGTACATCAAAGGGTGATTTAAGGTCTATGAAGGCTGTTTGTGTCTTATCTTTTGAGTGAACAAGATATTCTGCAAAGCATGTCTGTGTGCTACTCCCGGGCATGAATCCATACAGATTAGGGGCCAGTTTGTTTTTGACTTGAAACATGAGACGGTTGAGAACAACTCTTTCAAGGACTTTACACATACAGGATGTGAGTGAAATTGGCCTGAAGTTTGGAGAGTTTGCTTTAGGGATTGGTACTATGTTTCCATGAGTCCATGTCTTAGGCAGAATACCCTGTGTGAGGCTCATTTGATACAGGTCAACAATCTCAGGGTGTTATAGGTTATGCCATCCTCACCAGGGGAGGATGACTCGCCTTTCATTAGTGCTGTTGTTAGTTCGTGGTGCGTTATAGGAAACTAGTCGGTAAGGTCTGGTGAGGAACAGGCTATTTCAATATTGAAACCCCTATTAATATGTGTGGTTTTAAGATATTGCTGTATGTCAGGAGGCAGGGAAGTGATTTGTGACACACTAGACCATTGGTCTAATAGCATGTCAGCATATTCTGCAGGGCTGTGATGAAGCTGGACTGGGGTGGGTGACTTGGTAATGGCTCTAATTTTGTTCCACACTTCTGCTAGAGTAGTTGTTCTATTAATCCCCTGTAAGAATTGTTCCCAATAAGTGTTTCTTATCTGACCTTTGAGTTCATGAAATTCTCTGTTAGCTTTGAGGAATGCCAGGAGGTTATCACTAGTTTTATTTTGCTTATAAGTGTTGGCAAGCTGTTCTACTTTCTCTCTTTCTTTGGTGAGGATGGGGTCATGTGTCCACAGAGGTGGTTTAGTGCTGCCCCCCTTCCTCCTTGACTTAACCCAGGTGGTATAATATGTGGTAATGATTTACAAGATCACAGCAAAATTCATCCACTGACCCAGGTGTATATCCAGCATACCATCTGTGGATGTAGGCCTTGAAGTGCAGTCTAAGATTATATGGGATTTTAATTCTGAGCTTAGGATGGGGTTCACACTTGACATCAGCAACAGTGTATTCAGTAAGTATTGCATAATGATCACTGACTAGGTGGTCTGAGATGACCTTAGCCTTGACATTACTGTCTACTAGGTTATACCCAATCATATAATCAAGTCTGCCCCCCATCAGATGTGTCACTTTGTCTGTGTCTTATACAGTGATATTATGATTATTGGTGTAATTTACTAACACCCTCCCATTACAGTTACACTGGACATCACTGAGGACAGTGTGACGAGAGTTAAAGTCACCCATACACAACATAGCATTTTTACCTGATGGCTTTGGTTGTAATGGCCCCTGTCTCATCAACAGAAGTATTATATAAATGGGTTACTTGCATCTGATTTATATTCAGAATCATCCTCTGTAACTTTCCACTGGCTATGAGGTGACATGTTCAATGCACGTGATAAGGTGTGCCCACAGGAAGCTGCGTCATACTATGCTGAGTAAAGGCATAAGTAGCTGGCTCTCTGGCCACCTGAAGCGAGCTGTAGTTTGATATCCTTGACTAGAGGAAGACGTTATTTGAGAGCCGCAGTGGATGGCTCCGTCTTCCCTCGAGGGGTAACGACGTACCCATACCATTCTCCCTCGATGGGTCACTACTCAGCAGTCACTCACATCAACTACATCAAATGGATGATATATCAGTGTTACCGCCACAGTAAGATAAGCTAGAAGAAAGAGAAAGAGAGGGATAACCATAATAAGATAAACTAGGCGAGAGAGAGAGAGAGAGAGGGGGTGAGATAAGAGATATAGTATTGACAACAAATTTGCTGACCAATCTGCTGAGGTGTTTCAATACGAAAACATATGGCCCTCGCCTCCGGGCTGAGATTGCCCTCGAGGGTAGTCTACTGATTTCTACAGGACAGACAACACGTTGGTTCAGACCACTAGACCCTAAAACGTGAGTGATCGTGAAGTATTAGAATCTGCTAAGAAACTCTAAATAACTTTAATAAGTATATTTGTGTACTGCAATTTGATCATATTATACCAATTGTCTCCTGTATCAATAGTTATAACATGCGAGTTATATTTAAGATGTTAACAGGCTATGTACTGTATATTGATTGTATTTCATAATATGTGTCCTGAGATAACAGCATTTGTTATATGAGAAATGTTCTTTAACAGGTTTTGACCGAATTATATGGTACACATCAACATTGAGGGTTTATTTCTCCAGCAACAAACCAATAATGCTCCTATGAGCGTTAACAATCAGTATACATCTCTTTCTCTCTTTTCATTATATGTTACGCTGGTTAATTCCCCAGTTAACCAGGTTGGAACACATATAATATATATTGGGTTTTTGGTAACGAAACCCAATTGAAGTTTCTTGTTTTATTATTAAAGTATTATTTTTATAATTCCTGAGTGTATATCAACCGTAAGTTCCACTATTTATGAGTGAATGAGAAAGGACGGCGTTTATGCAATATAAACGTGGATCAACATCCGTTCGATTTTAGTTGATGTGAGTGACTGCTGAGTAGTGACCCATCGAGGGAGAACGGCATGGGTACGTCGTTCCCCCTCGAGGGAAGATGGAGCCATCCACTGCAGCTCTCAAATAACGTCTTCCTCTAGTCAAGGATATCAAACTACTGCTCGCTTCACGTGGCCAGAGAGCCGGCTACTTATGCCTTTACTCAGCATAGTATGACGCAGCTTCCCGTGGGCACACCTTATCACGTGCATTGAACATGTCACCTCATAGCCAGTGGAAATTTACAGAGGGTGAATCTGAATATAAATCAGATGTAAGTAACCCATTTATATAATACTTCTGTTGATGAGACAGGGGCCATTACATGGTAACACGTCCGCTCGCAGCTCATCACACCGAACATAGATGTTATACAGCGAAAATTGACTATTTGCTGTCTTTACTGTAAATTGTTGATAGTGAATACTTTCATCATTGTGAGTTTTGATCCATTTACAGACCAGACCATTCTTAACATAAGTGAGCAGGCCACTTCCTGCTTCACTATTGTATGCTGTAAACTCAGCTATCCTGGGTGCTGGACGTGTAAGGTTCTTGTAAACCAATTACATCAATGTTAAACACTTTAACAAACCATTGTAGGTCATTAATTCTGCGGTTAACACTCCGGATGTTCCATGAAATGAACCAAAGCGTTCGTGTTACTCGTTCCACCTTGAATATAGTATAGAGAGTCGTGAGTTGGCTTCATAGATCAACCTGACCAATAAGATGACCATTTCAAATTCTTCACCCCTGGAGTTCTTGATAATGCGCCTCACGGCCCTTATTCCAGTAGGATTTTTATACACAGATTCCTTCATTAGTCTTGCGAGTTCCTCCTCCGTAAATATTGGAAAAAGTACAGGGTTATGGACAGTTTTCAGACCTGGGGTTATTAAAGAGACCACGCTGGCAGTCTGGGGCTCATTCTCCCCATTCATGCTTCCATCACTATCGGTCTCGCTCTGGTTACTCACCCTCAAGTTGGCATCATTATGAGAGGAGGCACCAGCCCCTTCAGAAGCTCCACTGACACTATCACTGCCATTGTTCACTGGTACACTTACTTGGCAGGCTTTAACCTGACCTGCATTGGCTAACAAAGGAGAGTCACTGTGCCTGTTGACTTCAGGTGGTGGAGGCGATCTGGCCACGTTGGCATCACTGAATGGGACCGCTATTGTGGGTGGAGGCGGCCTCCCAGGACAACTGGAGTGCCAGGCCGTCACACCCTCCTCCCTGCACCTGGGACACTGCCCCCTGGGTGGGGAGGTGTAGCTGTTGATTTCAGGCGCTGGAGTCGACCCCACAGTGTTGCTGTTGGCATCACTGACTGTGACAGCTATTGAGGGTGGAGGCGGGCTCCCAGAGCAACCTGGGTGCCGACCGCCACACCCTTCTCCCTGCATCTGGGACACTGCCACCCAGGTGGGGAGGGGGGGGGGCTGCTCTCTTCCCTCCCGAGAGGCAGCTTCCTTGGTGGGGCAGCTCCTCGTGCTATGCATTCCAGCACAGATGCCAGATGCCGCAGGTGGCTGTCTTGTGACAGTATTTCGCCACATGATTGACCACGAAACAGTTGTAGCACACCACAGGGAGAGGAGTCCACCGACTGATGTTACTAGGGGTACCGTACATGTCGATGAAGCAGTATTCCTCAGGAGGTGGTTCCTTCCTTTTCCAAACAATGATGATTCTACTAAGTTGTGCACCATCCTTATAAAGTCTTCTTGCTCTGTGGACGCCCGGAAGTGACAGAGCTCTACTGGGGGGAATACCCTTGGGGAAGTGGGTGACAAGGTATTCCTTCATTTTTTGGGGTCGGACAGGTTCATCTCGCTTAATGAGATGTAGTGAGCCGACCTTTCCATCAATGAAGCGTTGGATAGCATCCGTCTCCTCTCGGCCTACATGGACGAAACGAGGGGGGCTACCTGACATGACAACATTCAGCGGAGTCGTGCAATATTCCTCATTCAGGGCGCTCAACCACTTGATCTTCATCAAATTGGTTGTGTTCTCGGCTGTAGAATACTTTGCGCCTAAGGTGCAGTCTCGTTCAAGATTCTGAGAATACTGCTGGAAACAGCTGGCAACTCAAGGCCGTTTGTTTTCTGTAGTACGTAGTATAATATAATACGAAACAACAAAGCCCAACTATTAATTAAGCAACAGGGAACTAAGTAACCAATCACCGATCACTTTTACATTCATTCTTAATTTTTACTACGTACTATAGTAAACAAACGGCCTTGAGTTGCCAGCTGTCTCCAGCAGTCTTCGAAGAATCTTGAACGCGACTGAACATACTCTGGCTGTGGAGGAAATAGAAACGGCATCAAGTTGAACACGTCTGTAGGGAGCTCTTCAGCAAGTGATGTTCTACGAAAAGAAAGGTTTCAAACCCTCCCAGTAATAGACCTGACCCCAGTGGATGCCCAAGAACATAGCTCTACCTAATTTAACTCCTCTCGGGGTGGCGTTGGAGTGTTTCATCAAGAGAAACGAGCTAGGGTGGGGGGGCACTTACCTCGGGAGCAGAAGATGGCACACACAACATCAGACGTGAGAAGTAAGGTAGTCAGTACCGGTCCACATAGACCAGTCCTCCTCATCTGGTATTGGTCATTAGTCCATTCGCCCTGGGCCACCGCTGCCACCCACACCAACCAAATGGCCACCCACACAGTCCGCCCCATTCTCGGATATCTGAAATAATGAAAATAATTCCCTACTTAATTGGAGATAAACAGAACAACAGAGATATTGAGTTAGGCGAGACATGTGGTCCAGCTGAGAGAGTGATGACTTGAGGTCTGTTTATACACCTGAGACTTTCGAATTGATGGAACGAGTGTCCGAATTGTTTCTCTACCCATAAATGGCACTTTAATGTCTCGTGTGAGTATGATGCAATCTCGGAACAGGAGCTTTAAGGAACGTTTAGTCAGGATTGTATACCTGCCATCACAGTTATACCCGTGTTGATGATGTAGCTACATGATAGTGTTAATGTAGTATTAAGGCCCATAGACGGTCAGTCATGATTGCGCAATAATGGAGATTGTGCAGGCATATCTGTCGTGTGAGTGTGCATGTTTGACGGATTGCGCAAATGATTGAAGAGTATCAGACACGGTTTGATATTTTCTCGTCAATCATGATACTTGCGCAATCATGTATGACGGTGTGTGGAATGATTGCGCAATCATTTCCAGTCTAGTAATGAGGATTCCCAGCATTGTGGAAATTCAAGAATGATGATTATAAGAAAATATCACTGAAAGGGGAGTGCTATGGCAAATTAATAGAAAACTAAAGGAAATTGACCCCAATGCGACCAGGAGCATGGTGACCAAGAGAATTAATGCATTGCGTTCAAATTACAGGAGGGAATTGAAGAAAGTCATAAGTAGCGAGAAGTCAGGAGCTAGAGCAGACGTCATTTACAGACCATCCTTGTGGTACTTAAAGACCTCACATTCCTACGGGACCAATAAATTCAGGAAGGTGGAGTGATAAATGAAGAGGAAAAGTAATCAGAGACGTGACCGATCGCCCAAGCGGCTAACGAGCCGATCAGTGGCGAAGAGGATAAAAGTAAAAGTAAAAAAGTCAAGCTTGGACGATGAGAGAGAGGAAAATAGACATGAAGATTCAGTGGATAACCCGGTAAGTTAATACACCATTTTATTTAAGATAAATAACATACATAACCATTCCTATAACATACATTACATAGTAATTGTACACAATCCGTGTATTAATGACACAACATACATAACACTGTAACTCAGTCGTGTCCCTGAATCCTTGTTTCCCGCCATACTACTGACTCAGTGTTATTGAAATAATGACAAAATTTATCCCGTATTTCCTTTGCCGATGAAGGTGAATTGCGTACAGATGTTGGCGCCAATGGTATAGGCTGTCTACTCTCAGGCCTCCAGTTCCTTCTTTAATCTGTTTAGTACTGTACTTGCATCTTCCATATCAAACCCACCTTGTAAATAAGCCGTTGCGTTTCTTTTTCGAAGATAGTTATGTAAGTAACAACATGCTAACATCTTTGTTGAACTTTGGTTGGAAACAGATTGATAGCACACAGAAGAATCCTAAATCGAGCTGCCATTATTCCTGGTAATTGTAAATGTCTAGTTCTTTGGTGAGGTTTCCTTGAGCAAAAGGCTTCATTAGGTTGTCCAATAAAGGAAAGGCATCATCACCTATGGAAACATATGGCATAATATCATTACAGGTAGTAGGCAGTAGGCAGCTACCAAACAGGGAGGTACTTCTGCCTGGGAAGATATTGGAAGCATAATGTGTTGTCTAATGGTAGACTCTGCTGCCATATGGCATCACAAAAATTGTGACCAAGTCCCAGGCTGCTGATCTGACTTTCTGCCTCATTCACACATAACTGCGGGGTCTCAATTGTTTCTCTTACTACTGACAACACAACATACATGATGTACAGTATATCGTTTCTCATTCTTGATTTATTTTTTCGTTTTTGTATTTATTTATGATTATGATTATTATTTTTATTATTTTTTAATTATTTTGTTATTAATTTGTATTGATTATTATAATAATAAAATAATAGTTATTATGTACTGCGCACATCATTGTCATCCTTAATACAGTATCTCTTTAATTCATATTACGCTACATAATACTCAAATCCACCGCGCTTGTAGAGTCACAGAAAACGATAGAAAACGCGAAATTTTTTATAATGGATAACTCGCCTGCTGTATGTTGTTTTATACGAATTGTACCAATGTACGGTCATATAATATTAAGTGTATGTACTTATAGTATTAGGAGAACGCAAAGTGTCTATACGATGATTGAGAAGGTCCAATACCACCACTTCCACCCACCACCACCACCTGTACCCACACCACTTCCATCTCCAACACTTCCACCCACCACTACCGTCACCTCCACCCACCATAACCGTCACCTCCACTCACATCACTTCCACCCACCACAACCACCACCTCCACCTACACCATTTCCACCCACCACAACCGCCACCTCCACCTACACCATTTCCACCCACCACAACCACCACCTCCACCTACACCATTTCCACCCACCACAACCACCACCTCCACCTACACCATTTCCACCCACCACAACCACCACCTCCACCTACACCATTTCCACCCACCACAACCACCACCTCCACCTACACCATTTCCCCCCACCACAACCACCACTCCACCTACACCATTTTCCACCCACCCACCACCCACCACCCACCACTACCATCACCACCACCACCCACCACTACCATCACCACCACCCACCACTACCATCACCACCACCACCCACCACTACCATCACCACCACCCACCACTACCATCACCACCACCCACCACAAACATTATTATTCCCCTTCCTCAGGAACCAAGCACCTGTATGGGTCTTAAGTTAGTAAGTAAATATAGGTTAATATTGCCCTTCCATATGAATATCCTGTTGCAGGTGAGGAAGGCACTAATCACAAGAAAGGTCTAGGCAGGTGTGTTGACTGTCCTACCTGTGTGCTCACCTGGTCTTAATGAGATACAAGAAGGAGTCTGTTCTCACCTTGTCTGAACCTGGCCACACTAAACCTTGAGCTGGTCTTACTGTGTGTGTGTGTGTGTGTGTGTGTGTTTGTTTGTTCAACAGGCGCATGACATGGTGAGGTTGGCTACACACACACAACAGTGACCGTCGTGTATATATATATATATATATATATATATATATATATATATATATATATATATATATATATATATATATATATATATATATATATATATATATATATGTGTGTGTGTATATATATATATATATATACATATATATAAATGCAAATTTGTGTTTATTCTGCATTGAATTATTAGATATTATGTTTATGTAGTTAAGATATTCATGCTGTTTGAAATGTTTTTTGTTGTTATAGTTATGTTGGTATAATACTATACCCCATGACCACTATACCACTATGGACTGCCCCGATACTGGGATCATGGGATCATTAATATAATTGTAGCTTCCTTTGAGATTTTTATGCTTTATAATTTCTTGTAATTTATCGGAATAATATCCTTGAAATCATTGTTAATTAATCCCATACATAAGAGGAGATATATTAACATTGTAAATATGTACAATACTGTAGTCAATGCGTGGAGGCTAACAGCATCCAACGTTGACTGATGACTTGAAGGTTAGCGTGTCAGCTCTTCAGGGATCATGGACGCATTGTAAACTGCGAAATATTAAACATAAATTATTCTTTTTGTTAGTGTGTCTCATTTGAGTCGTTTAGAGATTAAGGCGTATTATTGGTTATTAGGCTATAAGGTGGGATAATGTTATTTTATTGGTGACTGATGAGCGTTAAGAAGTCTTATTAATTTTCTGAGTCAAGAGTTCAATTATGATGAATGGTGCCCTGTACAGTCGGGTGTTTTTCGTTTTATTTGTTATATTCCTCGATATATATGTATATATATATATATATATATATATATATATATATATATATATATATATATATATATATATATATATATATATATATATATATATATATATATATATATATATATATATATATACAGTTTGGCTGGAACAGCATGTATACAATTTGTCTTGCTGCATTACACTCATTGGCTGTTATATCACCACTTCACCTACGTTACTACAAGCATGATGTATTTTTATAACCTATTGTTGTAAATTTCTCTAATAAAATTATTGGGAGTTTGTTTTTGCCTTGAGAAAATACTAGTACAAGATAGTGAGTCTGAAACATTAATGTGTTATCGTAATTAACTTTGTTTTCAGAATCTGAATTTCATGGTAGTGATTTATGACACTCTGTGCTATGTCGTACGTTGATCAGCAAAAACAAATGTAAATTATATCACCCATCCAGGTAACGTTAGGGCGTTTAATTATTATCAGAGAAAATGAAGTGGGACTCTTAATCCTCATGAGAGATTATATTTAAAGATAATTTGCTTCACTCTATGAGCGAACCTTTGCCCTTAATTTGTGCGTAATGTCTTTTGTAGTTCCTCCTGAGTATGTAGTGAAATGGGCTCTCCTTTTAGCCCTAAGGTTTCCATTTTTATAAACATGTATTACTAATATTGTGGTAAATATTTCATACTATTGTTGTAATGAACATGTAGTAATAATGTTATAGTGAATCTGTAAAATATAATTTATAGACGAAGCTGCAGGTTTTGCCAACGATGATAACCACGACGGTCTGGCTCAGAGTTGCCTGGTTGCAGTGGTTGGTGGTTTTCACGCCGATTAGAATAGTTTTGAGTGGTTTGGCGCGAAAATTTTGACCAAGGCCAAACCAGTAACAAAAGTCTTGCATTTATATGTCACACATACAAAGTTTTGTCCCTTAACGTTCCCAAAACAGCCATTTACTGACCCGACAGTCACCTGAGGTTGACGTTGACCGTCACTCAGTGACCCAAGGATCTCCACCCCACCTGGGCCCATCCCTCACCTCGCCACTGAGGTGCGGTAATCCAGTACCTTTGACAATAATCCTCTGTGTGAGAATTACGATTTCATTAACAAGGTGATTAGCGATAACTGGCGGCTGTGCCTGGCTGGCTGACTCAGGTCAAATCATCATGCTGTCGAGATCACAGAGGAACCGTCACTAGTAAAATGCACGAAGCTAGTCAGTCACGGACGCCACTGAAAATATTAATCTTGAAGCTCACAAAGATCTTTCTACAACTCTTCAAAGTCTATTTGGTTCTTAATTTCCCTGAATAACTTGGCATCGTCCAAAAACATTTGTATGTGGGAGTGTATTTCTTCTGGCATGTCGTTTATGAAACAGACAAACAACAACGGGTCCTGTACACTGCCCTGTGGTAAGCCGCTTGTCACGTGTACAAATTATTTCGTATCATTAATCACCAGACACTGCTTGCAAGCATTAAGGAAAGTCTCTGATCCACGCTAGGACACTTCCCGGAACCCCATATCCTTCCATTTTAATTCTGAGCCTTTCATGGGGTACGCTCTACGCTGTCGAAAGCGTATTGCAACCCTGTTCCAGAATTTGGGTTCAAACATCCAGTATCTTGAGTAATTGTGTTGTATTGTGTTAAACGGGAGAGGGACGTCCCGGAATAAAACTGTGTTGGCAGTCCTTTCAGGATTGTTTTGTAATAGATGTTCCATCATGGTATCTCTTATAATGCCAACTAGTACTTTACACACTATGCTGGTCAGGCTCACCGGTCTAATTATTCGTGGAGAGACGATCACCCTTCTTGAATAAAGGACTCACATAAATCATTTTCAATCACTGGGGACCTTTTGCTCAACCAGGCATTTACAGAACAGGATCTTCAGGGGCTCAGCAAGATCGTTGCACAACCTGTCTTAGAACTCTGTGATGCACTTTGTCAGGGCCGAGACTCTTATGAACCCTTAGGTTTGACAATATTTTATTTCTTATAACCTCTTCTAAGAACACAGGTCAGCACTGTGTCAAACCGTCTATCCCCAAACGCAGGAAGATATTTGGTATCCTCTCTTGTGAACGCCGAGGAAAAGAATCTGTTCAATGCCTCCGTCTTGTCCTGATCAGAATCTACGCCTACTTGCGTTTTTAATTTCAACTTTGCGTAGTGGTGAAACGCCTTTGGGTTTGACACTTGACCTCGCTTGCAATCTACCTCTGGAACTCTTTTTCAGCCTTTCTCCACTCTGAACTTTGCTTGGTTCCTGGATCTGGCATACGAGTACATCCTCCTGTCCTGCTCATACGTTTACTCTTATCCTCTTCGCCACTGATCAGCTTGTAACCGCTTGGGCGGTCTGTCACGTCTCTGTTACGCACTGATGGCAAGTACTGGGCATGTACTGGCTCCTGAATGTATGGGAACCTGTTACAGTGTTGGTCAAGTATGGCCTTGAAAGAGCTCACACTCGGTGTCGTCACAACACTCTCTGGCAGATTGTTCCAAGAGTTCACAATTCTCAATCCGAAAAGGTTTGCTCTCACAGTTTTATGGACTTATGGCTTCTTCAATTTTGTGGTGTAACCCCTTGTGGGGTGAGCGTCCACCAGCTACAAGTAAGGACACTCGACTGAGTGGTGCCCCTTGAGATGCTTATACACCTCAATTAGGTCGCCCCTTGCCCGTCTGTAGTATAAGCTAGGCAAGTTCAGGCGCTCCAATCTCTCAGGGTAGTTGAGGTGCCGAAGTGTAGACACCAGTCTGGTGGCCCTCCTTTGAACATTTTCAACCAACTGACAGTCCCTAGCATATCTCGGGGACCAGACGGGGTGACAGTACTCCAGGTGGGGAAGCACTTCACCCCTGAAGATCGTTACGAGGGACGGACCGTTTAGATATCTGAAGGACCTTCTTACAAGACCCAATAATTTATTTGCTTGATTTACCTTCTTCTCGCAATGGCCCGAGAACTTCAGCTCATTGTCAACATACACACATAGGTCCTTCTCACATTCAGTCTCAAACAGTGCAGTTTCTTCATCCCGTTGGGACATATGATTCGCCACCTTACCGTTGGTACGCCCCAGGTGCATCCTCTTACACTTCGTGACATTGAATCTCAGCAGCCATTTCTTCGACCATTCTCGGAGTTAACAGAGATCCTTCTGCAGCTCTTCACAGTCCGCTTGGTTCTTAATTTCCCGAAATAATTTGGCGTCATCGGCAAACATTTGTATGGAGGAGTGTACAACGTCAGACATGTCATTTATGGAACAAACAAACAACAGTGGGCCTAATACACTGCCCTGTGGTACCCCGCTTGTGACAGGTACGGACGATGATTTCGTGCCATTAATCACCACACATTGCTTGCAGTCATGTAGAAAGTCTTCTATCCACGCTAGGACATTTCCCCGAATTCCGTACCCTTCCAGTTTGATTTTCAGCCTTTCGTGGGGTACACTGTCGAAAGCCTTGGCAAAATCTAGGGATATATTGTCTATATTACCACCCCGTTCCAGAATATGGGTCCAAATATCCAATACCTTGAGCAATTGTGTTAAGCAGGTTGGGCCCCGGCATAAAACCGTGTTAGCAATCCTTTACAAGGTTGTTTCGTAGTAGATGTTCCATCGCGGCATCTCTGATAATACTCTCAAGTACTTTACATATTATGCTGGTCAGACTCACCGGTCTATTGTTGTTCGTGGAGTGACTATTGCCCTTCTTGAAGATAGGACTCACATAAGCCACTTTCCATTCACTGGGGACCTTTTGTTCATTCAGGCATTTAAAAAACAGTATCTTCAGGGGCTCGACAAGCTCGTTCCACAATTCTCTTAACAATCTGGGATGCACCATGTCCGGGCCGGGACTCTTATGGACCTTTAGCTTTGGCAGTTTATTTCTAGTACCCTCTTCTGTGAACACGATGTGGGTCAGTGCTGTGTCGAACCGTCTGTCCTCAAACGCAGGAAGGTTAATCGCATCCTCTCTTGTGAACACCGAGGAAAAGAAGTTGTTCAATGCCTTAGCTTTATCCTGGTCAGAATCTGCGTAACTACCATTTTCAAGCCTCAGGTCTGATACTCCTACTCGCGTTTTTAATTTCGACTTTGCATAGCGGTAAAACGCCTTTTAATTTGACTTGACCTCGCTTGCAACCAGCCTCTGGAACTCCTTTTCAGCCCTTCTACACTCTATCTTTGCTTGATTTCTGGCTCTTGCATACATCCTCCTGTCCTGCTCATCGTTTGACCCAACCCACGTCTTGAATTTCTGGGATTTTTTCTTAACTTTGTGGCTTGGGTGTTTAGTCCCCGCTGTAAGGCGTCTGTCTTAACATGTTGGAACAACATAGTTAAAGTCCCCCATGATAAGGTAATTTTTAAACCATTTAATTATCTTTTTGTTATGGAAGCAGAAGTAAAATACTGTATATGTAATGGATATTCTACTTCTCCACATCTTACACAACTATAATCTTGTTTTGTGTTTGGCGTTTTGGCCAACGGCCAGCAAAACGGGCAACATGTTAGGAGGGAAGTGCTCAGTGTGCCTCCACCTTAAGCTTAAGGCGTCTATGTTATCCCATTTTTTAAAGGGATTATTTAAAGTATTAGGTAAAGATTGTCGCTGAAGGTGTTTTACCCAGATAGCTTGAATTATTTAAAACAATTATGGTGGCTGTTTTGTGTGTGTGTGTGTGTAGGCCCTGTGCCTCGCACCCAGTCAGCGAAAATAGTAAACATTTAGCGTTTGATGGGTGACGTAGGACCTACTGTAACTAAGTGTGCCATGACCTTGTGGGCTATTCTTGGTCAAATTGACTAAGCAATTGAGATTATAACCTTGAGTTAATCATGAAGCCGTGACGCGACTTGTCATCAAAACTTAATATTTTACATTTTGCTAAATGAGCAATAATTTTCAGGCGTTAAATACTTATTGTGACGGAACTTAACTAATTTTGTGTTGTAATTTGCTTTAATTTGGATAACTAGTATGCCATTGGGCTAACTGCGCTATTAATTGCTTATTTCAAATTGAAAATTTCAATGCAGTACGACACACTGTGTTCCCTGGCCTGGCACCACTGGCCGGCCCCGTGTAAGGTTGGCTGGCCCTTATATATCACCGTCGTCATGGCTGCGCTAAGAGTATCATCTTCTCGCTTGTCTACTACCTTTAGGGGTGTTCTGCCTAACCAAGCAATAGGCATATCAACGTCCTCAGCCGTGGTAACTATACGAGACTTAAGTAAACTACCATTAGACTTGTTAGGCAGAGTTGTGGTGGTTGTCGTCTGCGCTGGGGGGCGACCACCGGCACCCGTGTACAGTCAGTTAAATATCAGCTGATGTAAATAAAACTTATTGCATCAGGTTGATTGAGTACCAAGGATTACCACCGCACCTGTTTGACAATAAGCACCATTAGTCACTGTCTCAGTTTATTTTACGGGATAGGCACCACTGGTCATTGTGTCGGCACAGCTGTAGGCGTTAATGACTCGCTGGGAGGTGGGCGGAAAGGATATAGCACCATCTGTAGTGCCAGTGTGACCGGTGGCAAGGAGCTGCCATGAATAAACCATATATAGTGATTATCAGAGGTTTTCAGTGAGTTATATTAATCTCACCTTGGCTGCTGTGTTGTAGGTGACAGCTAGAGTTATGGCACCAAACACCAGGATATATATCACAATGTTTAGTACAGTATAGACACCAAGGATATTATTCGGTGAAATGTACATATCTGGAGCTAGTGAATGGTTACCCCATTAGAAACACACCTTTAAATACAAGAAGCCACAAGTACAGAAAAGTGTTCGTACTAATTTCTTTGAAGTAAAAGTTATGAGCTTTTATTATAAACTGCCAGTGTTGACCATGTTCAGGTACATCCAGGAGCCCATACATGCACAGTACTTGCCAACAGTGTGTAAGAGAGAATTCACCAACCACCCTGATCTGCTAATAAACTGACAAGTGGCAAAGGTTAAACCATAACTAGACCGTGCCCTTGTGACTGTGGGTATACAGTGTGATGGTACAAGATGTTCTGCAGTCAATAGTGTCATGATAAATATAGTCATATCTCGATATTGTCAGTTAATATGGAAAAGGTTCAGTTAAATTGTAGGTGTACTAACTGTTATATGGGGTAAAGTTATGATAAAGGTAGGAAAAACACCTCTAGATACACCATGTCTTGTTGGTGGGTCGAGGATCTAGTGTTTTTTTATATGTTAACCCAGAGGTATAGAAGAAGACAATATTTGTTGTTGGTAACAAGTATCTTGCCAATGATTCGAGACAATGTATACAAATCACGCTTCACGGTGTCGGATTTTGTGGCAACACTGTACCGAGGTCTTATTATTTTACAGTACTGTAGTTCAGTGTAAGGTAATGATGGTAGGGACGGTTAGCACCAGAAGGACTTTATGGAATTGCACCAAATTTTCAGGGAATGTTGTTTGGATGTTACTAAGAAAATCGAAGTGACAATGCACAGAACCTATTAGAAACCTGACCTAACCTGACCTAACTTTCTAACCTGTGCATCATTGTTTAAATTTTCTTACTATCATCCAAACAACATCTCTAAAAAAAGTGACTGAATTCGCTCTAACATAAATCATAATAAACACGCCCAATGAGATCATCGTTAATTTCTTGACATGTAGACAAAGACCGTAGACAGTCCCATATAGCAGACGATGTAAACCTAAACATGGAGGTCACCATGGGAGATCCGACAGCGCCATAATTACGGTAAATAATTTATTTCTTCACCTACAAGCACAGAGACGTGATATTACTGCCATATGATCAGTGTTCGAAGTGTTTTTACCCCGTTATTTCCCTCTTATTTCATTCCCTGTCCACTAACAAGTTATTTGTGATTGAAGGATAGGCCAAAGAGAAGAAAAAAATACTACAGTGTTGTTTCAATTTTATTACTCCGTATCATCCAAACAACATCTGAAAATTTGGTGCAATTCCATGAAGTCCTTCTGGTGCTAACCGTCTCCTCCACCATTACCCAATTTAATATGAGCAGATTTCCTGGCATTTATTCACTGACCGCAATGTTTATAACTACAGACAAGTTGATTGGCTAGCTAAACTCACAGTATATAGGCCCGCAGGCTGTTAGTCCCTTCGTAACAATTTCATGTGTTTAAATGTAAATTATTTATACTGTATTTGATGTACAGTAGCTAAAACAACTATCTGTGCAGGTGGGGGTCGATATGCTCCGAAATTTTACGTGTGACTAGTGACGGCCCTCGTATACCAAAATTTATCATCCATGGTCTCATATTGTTTCTCCACAAAGTATGCACAGATAGTTGTTTTAGCTACTGGACGTGTTGTTCTTTACATGACTGTACTGAATAAACATTACATAATCACTCACTCCACCCACTAATAATGAAAATACAAGAAGACTACAGTTACGGTACAGTTCCTAATGCAGTACAGTAGATAATTTTACTAAAACAAACCCAACTGGACTTACTCAAGCTAATTCCTGTAAATTAGTTTAGATTTGTATGTTAATAATTTGTCCAGTTTTGTGTGGTTGTAACCCTACACTACTTTCATCCATTTTTTTCATTAGTGGATCAGGTGACTATATGTTAATACAGGGGCAGTGAATATGTCCTTATATGAATTCAGAAATTAAATAAAAAGAAATTATAAATAGCCATGATTAATACTCGATCTGTAATGAAGATTATTGGATGTAGATATGTATGTTCTTCATTTTTTTTTTACAGCTGTGAAGTCTACAAGCAGAAATTATATTTTATAACACCAAGTACATATAGTCTGTGAAGAACAAGCAGCTTTAGTTCAGTGACACCCAGACTGACATCAGTACAGTTCTTGTCAGAATGGTATGAACTGCTCAGTTGAACTTTATACTGCACACTAATATTTCCAAGAAGTAGGGGATGGGGCATTATTATTTTAATATCTTACTATGAACTTTTTTTTATAGAACATATAATTAGATCAGGAGTTATTTTTTATTATAGATATTGTAGTGCATTCAGGATATACAGTACTAGTAATACTGTAGCTTATTACCTCTCACCATATTACTCTACTGTATATAATTAAGTTGTAAATTAGACTATGAAGTTGAATTCCTTAAATAGGGTGTTGTAGTACAGGTTGTACCTCTCTAATCCGGCATTCTGTGGTCCGGAAACTCCTGTGGTCCGGAACGATTTTAGTTTGTCCAATAGGTAGATAGGCAGCTCTTTTTTTTTTCTTTTTTTTTATTATTATTTGAATTATTATTACAGGAGTATTAAATTTTTGCACCTCAGGCCCCAATGTGGGTCAGTGACCTATGCCCGGGTGGGCTAATCTCCGTAAAAAAAAACAACAACAAAGCCGCAGGAAATTAAGGATTGTTTTCATCCGGCAGTTCGGCTGCTCTCTCTCTCTCTGCTTGTCTATACAGAGTACAACATTTAACCCTTCAATATATATGAGCAGTAAATAAGTGTTGCTTTCATATTCTTATGTAGAGTAATGATGATATGTTTTCACATGTGCGCACTTACATATGCGCACTCTTTTTTTTACCATTAATGGTTATCTACTTCTATTGTTCCATTTATTAACATTAAATAACATTACTTCAAACAACCATCTTAATTTTACTACAGCTACAACCAAGGTCTTATTTTCTTCAGTTTTATATGTAGAACCAGTCAGTCACTGGTTTTGTAATCAACGAAAACAATGCTGTGTCATTTCCTCGTGTGTTTTAATATTCTACGTATTATTAATGAATTGTATTGCTCATTTTGCACACATAAACATTAATTAAATAAAAAAGACATTCAGTAATAAACAATAATGAATCTTTTGTACATAAGAGAAATGACGCTGTTTACACGATTATGCTCGTCTGCACGTTGGCGGGCCGTTCAAACCCGTCGAAATTCAAGTTTCCGCCGTAAAAATTTTTATTTATTTTTTTTGTGTTCCAATAAAATACGTTGAATAAAAAACTCGCGAAATTTGAGAAGCTACTATACGACATTTAACCCTTCAATATGTCTTAAAAGAGACCATGATGCAGAGAAAATGGTGCTAGTGCTTCCAAGCATAAGCACAAGTCACTATCTATCCAGGAAAAGGGTGAATTTCCATGGTCTGGCAATTTCCATGGTCCGGCACCGGTCAGGTCCCGAGGTTGCCAGACTAAAGAGGTACAACCTGTATGAGGGTTGTGGTAAACATTTTTAACATAGCTATTTGAATATTATAAAATTAGCAGTTACTGTAGTTAGGATATTTTGGATACTTTTTGCACTGGTAACAAACGAGGGATCAACTGAAGAATTTTCACCTCAGCTTATTTTTCCTCGAGATTATCCACTTTAATATTATTTGGGGGGTGAGGTTAAGTTAGGTTGGTTAATCGTGAGGTGAAATAAACTGGGGTGGAGATTCTTCAGAGGATGCCAAATGAGGTCTTTGTAGCTATAAGCATAAAGTGTATTAGAAAGAAAAGAAGAAATCAGGTTTGGCCAGATACACACCTCTGTGGGTTACTGCTCAACGGAACAGTAATAAAGTCCACTGTAAAATTATACAGTATAGGCATTGTTAGTTTGCCTTCTTCTGTAGCAGGAAGATGGCACAGTGTAATTTAGTTCAAGTATCTTTACCTTTTTATTTTTATTTCTTAAACTAAAAAAAAAAATTCATGTGATTCTTTCAAAGTGGAATGTTGATATTTATTGACTATTTTACCAACTTTTTATGAGATCGCATTTTTTTCTTTCTGAGTTTGTCTGTGTAGGTAAGACGTGCAGCTGTTGTAAGTTATGAAGTGTTGTGCTTTGATGTAATGTGGTGAACCTAGTTAATGTGTTAAAAAATAGGATTTCATTGGGAGGGCATTTGAGGTACCATTTTGTGGATTTTGGTAGACCTAATAGACTAGAAAAGCAGAGCAAATTGAAATACACATTGTAATGATATGATGAAAACTTAGATATTGGAACAGGTTAAGGAACAGAAGTACTTGGTAGTGTTGCTTGATAAGAACAATATGGTGGAGAGTGAAATTAAGGAGAGAACAGTAGATAGGATAATGGAAATAGTGAGGTCATATGAGATACAGGTGTAATATTATTCAGTGATAGGGTGATGTGGAGGTCCTTCTGCTGTGGCCTTCCCCTGAGAGGAACCCCCTGGTGTGGGGCATCATAGATAAAACATAAATGGTATACAATATTACAATAATGATTTCTGTAATTGGCAAATTTTTCGGGTCGCTTGAAGATTAGTCGACCCAGCTTATTTTGCTTGACAATTAAGGGGAGCGTCCGTCTGAAAATACGATGAAAATTGGAAAATTGCGAAAATGTTAAAAAAAAAAACTCCTGAGGACAGTTTTTGCCTATGGCTATCTGCTGTTGTATTTTGATTGCATAATTCGTTATATTTATATAGCTATGCATGATTGTTCTATCCCCCCCCATCATTTGGAGGGCACATCTGTTTACATAGCAAAAGCTGTAGAATAGTACCTATTTATAATAATATTTTGGTGTAAAGTAATAACTATCACTTGGTAAAAATCAGTTACCCATGAAAGAAATGAGAGTGATGCTCAACTGTGTGTTGCTCTCACACCACCCTTATTGGCCTGTGTCTCAGAACAAGTACTGTACAGTACAGTATTTCTAACGTTCAAATCCATAAGGCTCAGCCATTTATGGGCCGATTCTAATAAAACAAAAACTAAATACAGTAGTAGAATACCATATTGTACATTGCTTGGTTTATTATTTGCTGATTTATCTTTATAAATATTTGGAGGAAAAATGGTATGTTAGGAAAAAAATTTATGCACCCAAAACAAAAGTGAAAATCAGAAATATCCATACGTCACGTTCAAGAGGAGTAAATTACCTATACGTACTCCACACGAATTTACACGTAATCTAGTGAGAAGTTATGGAGAAGTAGGATTTTGTAAATTGATAAGAATATCAGGGAAAAATCAGGTATTAAGGTATAGCACCAATGTATCTGGTGTCCTTAATTGCTGACAGGAAATGAATATTGATTGATCAATTATATTAATGAATTTCGTGCTTTAGCTGGACGCTCCCCTTAAAGACCCTAATGCTACTGGTTGGGGGTGGGGAGGGGGATAGGGTAGTGTTAGGATAATTAATTTTTAGATGAAATAAGCTGGAGGTGGCTAATTGTCACATGATGATCCAATTTTTTCCTGGCATCTGTATTATCTAAGTGTATGGAAACACACAACATTCACCATACAGTACTCTTGAGTTGTCCATAAGATTCAGGTTAGTCTGAGAATTAGCTCGGGTGAATGGAGCTTTACAGTGAGAAACATATACAGTATTGTACTGGAAAATATATACAGTATTTTAAATTATTTCTGAAACATTATTGATCATACTGTATTAGATTATCTGATATGACATGAAAAAAAAATTTTTTTACTTCTCTTTATTAGGCAAGATTATGCAGATTAATTTATCAATTCAGTATTTATCTGATGTCAGGTTCTATTTACAACACATTAAATTGAGTCCACTAGCTTCATTATATATTAGTTAGATTGTGCTTACTGGTATGCTAATGCTTCTTATAGCTGTGTTACTGTGTCCTATAATGACTTTAATACACTTTGTCACATTAAGATGTTGAAGAAGCCTCTAGCCTGTGTGGTAAGTCATAATGTATACTGTATGCTGCTAACAAGATTTGAAAATACTGTAATAAAATGTTGTGTATTTTTTCTTTGCTAGAAAACGAAAGTAGGAAAGGTGAAGTACCAAAAGGTAAGAGTTTATTTTATCTATAGGAGGTTTTGCCTTCGCATGTAATTTTTGTTTTGTAACACAGAGTTCTTCACTGTAGCCTAGAGTTTTACACTTTAGATAAAAATCTTCACTGTAGCAAAGTTCTTCATTACGATCTATTGTAATAAGTTTTAGCACTTATTTAATGAGTTTACTGTAAATGCTGCAAATGTTGTAAATGATTGCTCTCCTTTGTAGTGCATTGTTCTATTCTTTCTCATGTTTTATGTAAGGCTTTTTGGCACACATGATGAGGTTTGTTTCTGAGGACCAACATATTCCAGTGGCATTTTTTTTTTATATACCCCGGAAAGTAACATGTTAGATATAGCAAGTGTGCAGGCCGCCCACAACAAAGACCCAGCTTTTCCTCTCCCCCACTGAAGTTGTTCCTCCAAGAAACTGAAGCATAAAAGTTAGAATGGCAAGTCCCATCTTCCTGACGAAAACTGGCTGAATATTTAATGTTTAGCATCATCTGGGGTATGATAAAGTCAATCAGTAATTTACATAATAAGTATCATTGCCTGTTATGTTGAGGAAAAATATGGACCAACAACAGCTCTTGTACATAAAGGGTACACTTTAAATTCACTTGAGTGTCCTTAGCTCTGGTGACTGGGTAGCTCCAGTGTATCTTTGGTTTGGACCTTTTCCCCATACAGTACTTAACCTGTTACTGCACTATGTTTTACTTATAGTCTCCTCCATGCTCAGATACACCACAGCTAATGATCATGATAATAGTGTTAAAAAAATTTCAAAGCATTGTGAATAATAACATTTTGATCATTGGAATGTTGTCCTCTGTTTCACCCCCAACAAGGTTCTGCTGCACACGCTAATTTTCATTTGTGTTATAATTTGCTTTGTTGTTCAGCGTGAAATTGTTGCAAGACTGTCGTGTTATCTCAATGTATGTATTAAGACTATTGCAGCATTTAAACAAAAATAGAAGCTAGGTCTGGATCATTTCCAAAAGCTTTTTTCCTTTCTTTTTAATTTGATAAAAGCTTTAGATAAATCTTTGATTGTTATGCATATTGCTCTTACCCTAATGATAAGCATTTCTCAACAGGAATATGGCAGACTAAGCCATCAAGTTTAAAAAAATTGCAAATTAAAGGTAACACAAGTTCTTTTAGTCAGTTGTGGTTTGAGGTGCAGACTTGCAGGTTAAGTGTTACTGTACTGCTGTGTTAGTACTGTATAGGAGTAGGTTGAACATGTGGTCTATTTTTATAATGCATATCTCCTCTCAGGGTCATCTAATAATTAATAGTACAGTATACAGTATTAATGTAATTTACACCATGAGTACTGATGGATACAATAATGGTTAAGTTATGGTTGATATACTACATTCAGTTTTGCCTTAATGTATACAGACTCAAATCCAAAGGTTCTTTTTAAAATTGGATAGATACTTTATTTATTATCCCGTTATTGTCAATAGTTTTATACATTTTGTTAGGTCATTAATTCAAATACATATTGTTACCGTAGTTATGTTGGTAACTTGTATAATGATGCCTGGTAAGTGAATTCTCAATACCCTGCACTTGAAGTATCTTTATACTCAGTTTCCAACTCTACACTTGGGTAGTTGGTGCCACGTCTTGCATCACATTTCTTAGGGTTGGTTTGGAAGTGACGCTGATATAATGACTACCTGTATTTTCAGACCAGCAAATCAGGAGTGAGGAAGGAATCTGACACCTTCGGGGAGTTAGAGGTGCCCAACAGTAAATATTATGGAGCACAAACTGTTCGCTCCGTCATGAACTTCCCCATCGGTGGCGAGACAGAACGTATGCCAGTTAGTGTCTGAAGTTGAAAGTTTTTCAATTTATGATTAGAAAGCTTACTTAATATTTTGTTTTATATAAGCCTTTGTGGGAAAAGTTCACAATTTTGTGTTCATTTACTAGACTTATAGAACATTATTACAAGTTATGATTTAATCATTAATATTATATTAAAACTGTCACCATGTCTATTAATGTAATAACAGTATATAGTTTAAAATGTGAAGAAGAGTGAGTTCTGTAATGTATAAACAACAGGGAAATATTTGTTGCCTTGATCAAATGAGATATGGGTACAGTACTGTACGGCATGTTTACATATTGTACCTGAAACATACTGAATGTTACAGTTGCCAGTGATCAAGGCCTTTGGAGTGTTGAAGAAGGCTGCTGCAGAGGTGAACAAGGAATTTGGTCTTGATGCAACTGTTGCTGACACGATTTCCAAGGCAGCAGATGAAGTCATCAGTGGTGAGCTGTATGAGGACCACTTCCCTCTTGTCATCTGGCAAACGGTCAGTTGTGTTCCATATTTATCTTGTGCACTGTGCAGAAAATGTAGTGTACATCAGCCTGTTTTGGTGGAAATGTTTGCCGAAGAAAATATTGTCCAACTTTTATCTTAAATTGATGCAATATGCTACAATCACTTGTGTTAATGTTTAGTGTTATCATATCAGAAGACAGCTGAAAATTTGGATAAAACTTATAGTTGATGTGAAAAAATATTATACTGTATTCTGATTGGTTGAGAATGTGTATGGAATAAAATTTGTATATACATTATTTCTATCAGAATTTGAGAGACTTATCACAATTAATCAACTTTTTAACTCTGAAATTTAATTGGAAGAATTGTCACAATGTATTCAACAAGTACAGTACAGTATTATTATTGGTTATACTCCTCTAAATAACCCATACCAATGAACACATGATCATATAGTTATTTTACAAGTCTAATTTTATTGTTTTTGTATTTTTGTATTTTTTTAATAAATATGCAAATGAAATAGTGATATTCCCATTTGCCGGAACAATTGGTGCAGAGCACTTCCGGGAATGAGAGATTTCCGGGTAACGAGAAGACTCTCTCAAATCCGGAAAAAATCCCTCATCCCCAAAATTTTCCGGGTAACGGAAAAATGTTTCGGAAGTTCCAGAAATTGCCCATTACATCATCTCTTGAACCTGGAAAAATATCCCTCCTCCTCGGAATTTTCTGGGTAACGTAAAATTTTTCTTGTAATTTTTAGAAAATGCGCCTAATTTTCATCTCTCAAACCCCCCAAAAAACTCCCCCAGAATTATCTAGGTATCGGGAAAATTTTCTTGGAATCATCCAGAAAATGTGCCCCTCGGAAAATCATTCCCAAAGCCGGAATTTTCCGGAAAATTCGGACTTTGGGAAAGATTTTCCGAGAAAATTTCAATTCTGGCTATCGGAGAGTTCCGGGTTTGAGGGATTCCGACTAACAGAGATATTACTGTAATTCTCTTCTTTAGGGTTCTGGAACACAGTCAAATATGAACACCAATGAAGTGATTGCCAACCGTGCCATTGAACTTCTGGGTGGAACACTGGGCTCCAAATCCCCCGTTCACCCTAATGATCATGTCAACAAGAGTCAGGTACTGTACCAGGGTTATGTGAGTTGGCCTTTGTCTCTCATGGGGGGGGTTATTTATAGCATTTTGGGCAAGTTACAGGTACTGTATATTGGGCTGTCATCTTTCTGGAAATATTTATACAAGAGGTGTTATTTAAGTTCATCCTATAGCACAAATAGGAATAGAGATAGTCATCATGTTAGAATATTTTACTTGCTTTGTGTTAGCTTTGTATTGCTTCTGTTGGAGGTGCATCTGTATGTGTGTACCAAGGCTCTGGTAACATAATGCTGCACAGTACAGTACAGCTCATTTAACAGTAATTGAGTTTAATTTCTCTTCTCAAACATGAACAGGAGCAGATCCAGGAATATCAAAAGGGGGAGTCCAAGAAATTGTGGGTGGGCAAACTTGGCGAGCATAGCGATCCCACCCAGCTGGGGAGTTTTTTTTGGGGGGGGGGGTGGCACTGTAAGCCCCCAGAATTTTGGGGGGAATCTAACCAATATCATGGGCATTTTGAAGCCATGTACACTTGATATTAGGAATTATTCTGAAGTTGATAGTAATTACTTTTTACTATACAAAAATTCCCGAGTATAAGACTGCATTAAAGAAAAGGTATTGGAATATTTTTATGAAAAGGGAGGGGGGGTCAGGATCCCCAAGACCCCCCCTGGTGAACTGTTCACCTGATTAGACATTTTTAATGAAGAGAGAATGTTTTTATTGGAAGCTTAGTTTCAGTTGTAGTGAGTTGCATTATTATGACTTTCAGTTGGGCTTTGTATACTGTATGTATTTTTAACAAAATTATAGGGTGAAGAGTGTGCAGATTTGAACTGGAGAATAATAGAAGACTTTATTTGATACAGAATTTCATATTTAGGCCCTTCTGTCAAACTTACTGTATCATGTGTAACTACTTTCAGAGCTCAAATGACACATACCCCACTGCAATGCACATTGCAACTGCTGTTGAAATTCACAATACACTTCTGCCTGGCCTGGAGGCCCTACACAACGCTTTAGATGGCAAAGCCAAAGAGTACGCGGATATCATCAAGATCGGCCGCACTCACACACAGGTAAGTTAAAATAAACTCTGAAACAAAATAAACTTCAATGCAGTATTTAGTTTAAAGTGTAAAGATTTAACTTTTTATTTCACATTTTTCAGTCACTCAGTTTTTCCATATCTGTGACAATTAATATTTTTATCCTTCTGTTTATTAGTGTCAATCTCTGTCTACCAGTCTTCCTATCCCTATTTATTAATTCTATCCCTACATCTGTTAGTCTATCCACCAGTTTGTTATATGCCTCAAAAATTTTATAATATTGTTGAGAGTTCAGAATATTGGTGTTTCAATGGATGTAATTTATACGTTGAAACCAAACATTGCAGGACGCCACGCCCCTGACCCTCGGCCAAGAGTTTGGAGGTTATGCTCAACAGATAGAGTTTGGCATCGAACGGGTCAAGGTTTGTCTCCCTCGTGTGTACATGCTGGCAGCGGGTGGCACGGCTGTAGGTACAGGTCTCAACACCAGGATCGGTTTTGCTGAGAAAATTGCTGCCAAGGTAAATGCTCTATAATTTGGTCACCTTGTATTATAGCAGGAAAAGCCTTGAATAAGTAAAAGAAAAAATAGTAGCTAATAATTTGCCTTACAACTTAATCTATTTCATAATTTATCATTTACACCACTGATCAGCATAGTAGTACTATTCCTTGTTACTTTGTTATAACCTTCATTGCCCAATATTAGTGAGGAGGAAACCAGAGTATCCAGAGAATACCTGCCATGTTTGGTAATGTCACATTGCCAAACATTGCTGGTTCTTGTCTGGGTACTTGATTTCATTTCTCTTTGTTTTTGGTCAGTTTACTAGCCTGTCAAGCAGTTGGTCATATCTCTTGAGGAACAAACATGCAAATTGTGTATTATGCTAATTCAACATTGATTCAAATATTGTGTTCACAGTTGGTTATATTTATGTACAGTAGTATATTGTACTGTGCTTGTGAAAATGATAAAGAGAAAAGAAGATAATATTTATCTTCTCGTACTGTTCAAACATATTGCAGGCTCTAATCTGTGTCCAAAATTGAAATTGCAGGTATCAGAACTTACTGGCCTGCCTTTTGTGACTGCCCCTAACAAATTTGAAGCCTTGGCAGCTCACGATGCCATGGTTGAGGTCTCTGGTGCACTGAATGTGTTGGCTTGTTCCATCATGAAAATTGCCAATGATATCAGGTTCCTTGCCTCAGGTCCTCGATGTGGCCTGGGAGAGATCTCACTCCCAGAGAATGAACCTGGCTCCTCCATCATGCCTGGTGAGTCATCCTTAAGGAACACATTGAGATTTGTTTTAATTTATGGGGAATAGCCCACCCGGGCACAGGTCATTGACCACAACAGGGCCTAGGGGGCAAAAAAATAAGAATAGAAAGAAATTAAAAATAGAAAAGGAAAAGGTTATATTAATCTTCACCACGAATATGCCGGAAAACCAACTTTTTAAAGTGAGACAGATTGTTTGAGTGTGGAAACACAGAAGAAGGCAGAGAATTCCACAGTTTGGCTATGTGAGGAAAGAAGGAGGTACTATAACGGGCCATCCTCTTGTGACCGACATCCACAGAGAAACGGTGGGCACCGCGGGCAAGACGTGTGTTACAAGCCCACGGCCTTGCTGGCGGTACACAGGATGCCAAATCCACCGAACATTGCCCGTTAAAGTACCTGTAAAAGGGAGAGAGTGAAGCAACATTGCGGCGAAGAGAAAGGGAAGAGAGATTGTCAACTAAAGGAGGAGAGTTAATAAGACGAAATGCCTTTGATTCCACCCTGTCTGGCAGTTGGACAGAAGAAGAGCCACCCCAGATATGAGAGCAGTACTCCAAGTTAGGACGAATGAATCCCTTAAATACTTGGAGCAACTGCTAAGGAGTGAAGTAGCTGCGACATCTGTACAGCATTCCCAGCTTTCGGGAGGCAGCTTTAGCAATGTTGAGGATGTGTGGCTTCCATAACATATTAGAGGAAATGGTGAGGCCTAGCATATCTATTTTAGAATTTGGCAGAATAATTGCATCCTGAAATATGATTGGTGGGAGATCATCTAATTTGGAAAGTGTAATTGGTAAATATGTACTGAGTTTTATTACTATTGAATTAACCAAGTTTCTACCTCCTCATTCGGAGATGCTGCACAGAGCCGCATTGATAGATGTAATGATATCAGCTCTAGAAACAGATCTAGTTTGAGAGGTAGGGGGAAGGGGAAAATGTGAAGAAGAGTGAAGAGTAGAATTATCAGCATAAGAATGGATAGAATTAGTTGCAGTGTGAAGTAAATTATTGATAAAAAGAAGGAAGAGAGTAGGTGAAAGAACAGAACCCTGTGGGACACCACTATTGGTAGAGAAAGAGCGAGAGATCGATCCCTTGACAACAACTGCCATGGATCAGTTCTTAAGGAAGCTAGAAATTAGAGAACAAAGTGGGGGAGAGAAACCATAAGAGGGAAGTTTAGATAGCAAAGACTTGTGCCATACCCTGTCAAATGGTTTGGAGATGTCGAGGGCCACGACGAAAGTTTCTTCATAATCCCTAAGGGAGGATGACCAAAGATGGGTGCAGTAGGAGAGCAGATCACCAGTAGATCTCGCCTGGCGAAAGCTATACGGGTGATCCGACAAAAGAGAATGGTGTTGTAGGTGACAGAGAGGGATGAAGTTAGGGCAATGGGACAATAGTTAGAGGGATTAGAATGGTCACCCTTCTTTGGGATGGACTGAACCAAGGCATGCTTCCAAGAAGAAGGAAAAATTTAGGTTTTGAGGCAAAAGCAAAAGATGCGAGCAAGCACAGGAGCCAGAACTTCAGCACACTCCCTCAGAACATGGAGGTATTCCGTCCGGTCCATGCGCCTTACTCACATCCAACCTGGATAACACACCAGCAACCCTACGAGTGGAGATTATAGGAAAGTGCATAGGTTCAGTAGGAGGAGCAGGAGTAGGAGGGATAGAGTAGGAGTTGTCTAAGGTGGAGTTAGAGGAGAATAAGGTGCCAAAGATTGACTTTGTCAGGGGGAGAGTTGGCTATAGGGTTATCAGGTCGGAAAAGAGGGAGTGCAGAAGTTATTACAGATGTTTTTGGTTATGGACCAGAAGGATTTACTATAGGAAGAATTAGGCAGGACAGCGGTCTTTCTTTTTATAAAATTCCGCTTGGCCCTACGAAGAATAGCCTTGCAACGATTCCTAGAAGTAATGAAAGAGGAGTGGGTAATAATAGGAGGAGGAGATAGTTTCATAGCTTGATACACCCTATCTCTCTCCCTACATGCAAGAGAAAAGGAGCGATCAAACCATGATTGTAAAGTGAAAGTTTTGGTAGATGGGATAAATGCACTCATACCACCCAGTATAACCCCAGCAATGCTCTCAGCACATACCAAGGCATCCTGAGTGGAAAAGCAACATTCATCCCAAGGAAAGTCAGTGAAGAATTCTCGCAAGGATTGCCAGTTTGCCCTCCGATAGTGCAATAGTTGATGTTTAGAGGGGGGTGGGGGAGGTGGTCGTGCCCAGTTTGATTTAATAGAAATAAGATTGTGATCAGAAGACCCTAAGAGGGGAGAAATTGAGTATGAATAGTGTGAGGGGTGAGAGGTAAAACAGAGATCAAGAATGTTGGCAAGTTGATCATGTCGATCTGGAACATGTGTAGGGTGTTTAATTACTTGTTCCAGATCATTATGGAAAAGGAGAGTGCCTCAGCTCCACCTGGGTCATCCCTTGCAGAGCCAAGCCACTCCCTGTGATGTACATTAAAATCCCCTAGTTAGACGATCTCGGTATTGGGGTGGGTGGATAGCAACGACTCATGGCAAGAAGTGAGATAGTCAGAGTTCCAAATAGTTGGTAGAGTTGGGAGAACAGTATAGGAAACAAAAGAAGAATAGTCATAGCTGCTTTATGCTGATCACCCATGCACTCTAGAATTATATTTTTGTTCATAGAGATGTTTACTGGTGCTGTTTTGATGAAACAATATTTGAAAAATAATTAATTTGTTTACTCCTAGCTTTTCAATGGTTATTTCTTCTGCTGGTGCCTTACCATTGTGTGGAGTTTGCTTGCATATCTTACCTCCTCCCTTGTTACCTGTTCTTCTTTGCCTTGACTGTTTAATATATAACGTATCTTAAATTAGATACAGTAAGTCTGCTGTCCTATTTGTTTCATTCAGCAGTTTTTCAAGATAGTTCCATCTCCCCTTTTTGCTTCATCGTGTTTCTGCAGTTTTTCCCATCTTTCTTCTTAACTATCATTGCCATTTGTTTTCCTTTCTTTATTCACCCTATTAATATCCTCCAGAGGATCTTGGTCTTTAATACCTTGTGATAATCTTTCTTCTCATCTTTCAGCTTCTTTGGGATAATTATGTAATAATGTCTCACCTCATTCAATTCCAGGTAAGGTGAACCCAACTCAGTGTGAGGCGATCACTATGGTTGCAGCCCAGGTGATGGGGAACCACGTTGCCGTCACTGTCGGTGGCTCCAACGGTCACTTTGAATTGAATGTCTTCAAGCCCATGATGGTTGCCAATGTCCTAAGGTACAACACACAGTAGTCAATACAGGAGGCAGGTCTTCGTTATAAGAGTATTCACTATCCGTGGTTTCGCAGTTAAGTGGTAAACTTTTTGTGACCATCAACGTGAAAAGTCCCCACATTTAAGTGGACTCCACCCAAAAGCTCTGAAAACTCCCGATAAAATCTACGGATTTTTTGCTGAAGCGTTTGAAAGTTCATCCTCTTTTAGGCGTCGTGCATGCACTCACGTGTCTTCGCTCCAGTCTCCCTCATTGTTTCGTCCAGACCAGTGTTGTGTTGTGTTTATTCCTGCCTTTGTTGTGTCTTTTTGTGCATGTTGTGGTGAATTATTTTATAATTTTTGTTGCCATGAGTTCCCAACCCAAACAGGGCGGAGTGCTTAAAAGGAAGCACTAGCCATAGTATAGATGTAAAATTAGAAGTGATTTGGCGAAAGAAGAGTGGGAGTGGACAATCCACCTTTTTCATCCTCCAACTAATCCTCCATCCTCCAACTAATCCTCCATCCCCCAACTAATCCTCCATCCCCCAACTAATCCTCCATCCCCTAACACCCACCTCCATCAATCCAATCAAGACTTTGAAGCCAAGTAAATAAAAATATTTTATTATGTTAAAAAAATTTATTTTTAAATCATTATAATAAATATTTTGTCTCAATGAACCATTGGAGTAAGTGTGCACCGGCAACGATTGTTTGGACCACTGGGTCGCTGGCACAATGTACGTTGCCTCAACACACAGACACCAATGAACTTTAAGGACGTTAGATAACTTATAAAGTTAAATAATTTCTTAAAATAATGTGTTATCAAATGTTTAACAAATGTTTCTAAGATAAATAATTGTTAAGATACACCTTTTCACATATCCGTTGAGACATTGTTACATAACTATTTGACAAATTTTATAACCGAATGACAACACATATCGAATGACAATCTAAAATAACTGTTGGTGGTATGTCATTCTCCAATTGTTACATTCTCAAACTATATGTAGACTGTCGGTTTATTGTTCACGTCTGTCAACTTCATAACTTATGTCAATCACTTCCGTTAGCATGAACGAACAGCTATTTTAGATTGTCATTCGATATGTGTTCTGTCATTTGGTTATGAAATTTGTCAAATAGTTATGTAACAATGTCTCAACGGATATGTGAAAAGGTGTATTGTAAATTTTTTTTGTGTCGTGTACAATCATGGTTCCAATTTGACCTATTTCCATTATTTCTTATGGGATTAATTCCTTGCTCTAAGTGGATTCGTTATCAGAGGCGTTTTTCCGGTCCCAATTAACCGCAGATAACAAGGACCCCCTGTATTGAATATATACTTTGTCTTCAGATTTCCACCATTTTGACACCTTCTTTAATAAAGGGAGATCATTACTATTAAAGATTTTTTTGTGGTTGCATAATTGTACTGTAATACAGAAGAAATTTTTCAGTTTGGTCAGGTAAAAGATTTCATAAATTTATTGCAGGTAAGGATTGCCAAGAACATGTGAACCAGTGAACTGTTAAAACATACCATACATATTCACATCATAGGTTTTTAGAGTGTGCTATGTGCAGATATACAGTACACATTATATCCAGCACATTGTGTGTACTTTTTTAAGGCAATGACTACTTGAAAATAGTGGGATATGACCTTAAATGATACTGTCCATAACGCATGGTCAATAGTGCTGTATTGGTCTGAGTGATCTAAACTTTAAATATCTTGGTTTTAGCCCAAGACCTATCCCTGCATTTGTGGGCCATAAAACATCTGTTCCAAGATGTTTTGGTGATATTGGAGTAAAGCTGATTGGTGTATTACATGAACTTTAAGCAGATAATAGTACAAAAAATTAAAACATCTGCACCTTATTGAAGTAATTTTTTTGTTATTATTATTATTGTTGTTTTTATTATTTATTATTTTTTCCAGGTCCATTCGGCTCATTGGGGACAGTTGTCATGCCTTTGTTAACAACTGTGTAGTGGGCATTGAGGCTAACCGTGAGCAGATCAACAAGCTTCTGCATGAAAGTCTTATGCTTGTCACTGCCCTCAACCCACATATTGGATACGACAAGGTACCATGACTCATTTTGTCAGTACAGTCAGTTCTGCTATAACGCGATAGTTGTGTTCTTGTAAAACATCGTGTTATAGAAATTCGCGTAATAGAAATAACAGGGCTTATGGAGAAAATAGGGTTAGGTGCAGATTACTCCAAATCGGAAAAAAATTTCGAAGTTAGCCTAACAGTCTAAGTAAATGTTACATTCATATCTAATAATGAAATCATACAGTAAATGTTACACTTTACCTTGAAAAACTATGAAAATAACTTGATGGGGGAGAAGGTTGATGTTGAGTCATGCAGACAGGATTTGACAGTTGTCATCGTCATCAACAGTATCATCATCATCAGGTGCAGTTTTTCTTTAGGTCCTCATATATTGATAAGGCCTTCTCTTTAATGGTGAGGAAGCTGGTCCCAGATCGCTTTTCATTTGATCTTCTATCCAAACACTTAGAAGCCATTCCAACTCCTCAAGTTCCTTTGGCCTTGATCTCACACTTTTGCTAGCACTCAAGGTTTTTCCAGCAATACAGCTTGCTTTAATCTTTGCTGCATTGTCTCTAATGGTGCGTAAAGTAGACTCCTTTATTCCCGTTGCACGCACAATATCACAAGTTCTTTCCTTATTTTCAAAACAATTGACAACATCAAGCTTTTCTTCAAGTGTTATAGCCTTTCTTTTACGATCACCACCGGAAATGCGATCACCAGAATGCTTCCCAGAGATATTCTTCTTTTCCATAGTCACAAAATTGGAGAAACAGTACCGTAATCAGAATTCACTGAGGACGCTTAAAAACTTCACACGTGTTTCAAACTGAACGTGTGGAATAAACAGAGCGCGCGAGTCTAAAACGCTATGTATTTTGTTTTTCTCTTATTTAAAATTTTACATTTTACATATACTGTACAGGTATACTGTATACATAAATATTACATAAATTATTTCTGCAATTGTTCACAAACAAAACACATAAATCAATTAAACATGTGATGTCGAACGTGAACTGTAAACACTGCATAACCCCGCGCCAAGCCACAACACTTTAAACGCTACGTATTTAGTTTTTCCCTTTTATTTAAATTTTTACAATTTACATACAGTATATATATGTAAATTGTAATTTACATATTATTCATATTATGCTACAGCGCCCACAAAACATGAGAAACGTTTGAGTCCCCCAGTAGAGATGTCCGTTCTCTATCCACTTCAGGATGTCTTAGTCCTTCGTTTTCTTTTTGTGTACTCGCTCAGGGACTCAAGTATTTCTGTATATAACACAGGATGATAAGGGAATTTTAAATTATGAGTGAATGAATTTATTATACAGTGATCAATTAACATAGTTTTGTGTTTAAGTAGTATTCAGGCGCCTTCAGCCTAGTAATTTTACGACATTCGTATCACTCACTGTAAACCACGAATTACATCCATACACAGAGAGAGAGGCCAAGCGCTCTGTTTACATCACACACACATAAATATTACATACCGTATATCTCGGCCTATTTTATAATCAGTCATGTACTGAATATTCTATGTGAAGAATATAAATTTTAAATGAATTATTTATAGTGCGGTCGACTTCCTACACAAAGACGGGCTATAAATAGTCGTCTTATCTCCCCTCCATCTATTACCCTCTGTTCTCAGAGAGAAGGTTTTGGTAAATAACTTTTGTTTGTTTATTTTCATTGTTTGTCTAATTTATCATGTTGTATCAAAGTAATATTACTAAAAATTTCAGGCAGCTACCAAACAGGGAGATACTACCTGCCTGGGAAGATATTGGAAGAATAATGTATAGTATTGTCTAATGGTAGACCCTACTTCCATATGGCATCACGAAAATTGTGACCAAGTCTTAGGTTGCTGATCTATCTTTCTGCCTCATTTACACACACTTGCAGAGTTTCAATTGTCTCTCTTCCTTTGACAACACAACATACATACAATAAAATTTTTCTCACCTTTGATCTTTTTTCCTTTTTGCATTTATTTATGGTTGGTTATTTAAAATAAGGCCAATTCACTTAAAGTATTGGCATCAAATTTTACCGGCTGGTGTACACAAGTGACTCACTTGAGCGTCAATTATTTAACTGGAACTAATGTTGGTGTGAGTAAAATATTTCCATTTACTTGAAATAGATTTGCCGATTTATTTGTTTATTTATTTATTTATAATATACTGTAATACATTAAACACACTGCAAGTATTTTCTTTAATTTATATACTTGTTTTGCAAAAAAGGGAGGCTACCATTATACCTGGTAGGTGAAGTTGACCAGAAATTTATGGTGATCATTAAGGACCAAACTCCGAATCCATGACGTGACTTCTGTTCATCATTCTCATCCTAAATTTACCACTGTCGGTAGTTTCAAGAATTAACACAGTCATTACTGAATATTCTTTGTAAAAGAATAAAATTTAAATTAATTATTTATAGGAGATAAGTGTTATGATCAGTAAATATACAGATATGCATTACTGACCACCTCCGAACACAAGGACGGCTAAAAATAGCCACAGGCGGTCACAGTCAAGGTCACTTTCCCTTTCTTGTCACTGGCAAATGGGGGTGGGGGGGGGGGATGATGATAGCAGCTGTGTTTATTACCGGGGTATATTGTTCTTTTACGGTATGTTAGACTGGTTTATAATACATTTTTATTATTTTAATATACCGGTAATCTTCATTTTAATCCAGCTTCCCAAACGTAAGTTTCAGTATAAAATAATTAGTGGCAGGACCTTGTGAGTGGTTTACCATGTTTCCATCACCACTCTTGACACGCTAAACTGCAATATTTAAGAGGTAAGAATTTTATCTCTGGTGCTTAAGACGACCCCCTAACTTTGGGCTGATTTTTTTTTTTTTTCAAATTCCGTCTTGTAGGCCGAGATATGCGGTATGTGGATTGTCAATGCTGTATGAATTATAATTTTATTTTTTATTTTTCAGGCAGCTAAAATTGCCAAGACAGCTCACAAGGAAGGAGCGACGCTGAAAGAAACTGCACTTAAGCTTGGGTATTTGACTGAAGAAGAATTCGATAAATGGGTGCGACCAGAAGACATGCTTGGACCCAAGTAAAATTAAATGCCAGAACCTCTGAAATTTTGTGGAAAATGGTAAGATATATTTTTTATTTTTCTTTGATTTGTAAGAAACTGGACACAGTGAACATAATGTTTATTACAGTACAGGAATACCCCAGTTATTGCAAAGGATGTGTTCCTGAAAGTCATCCTCAATATCAGAGCAATTTTCCCCATAAGAAATAATGTAAATGGGGGGGATTTTTTATTTATTTTTTATATTTATTTATTTATTTATTTATTTATTTATTACTTTTTTACTGGTATTATCCCACCTGGGCACTGGTCACTAACTCGCATCAAGGCCTGGGGGAAAAATAATAATAATAATAATAAAGCGCCATAAATATATACAAAAATGAAAAAAATAAAGGTCAAGAGTGAGAAATGATGTATGTATTTTGTGTTGCCAAAGTAAGAGAAACAATTGAGACCCTGCAAGTGTGTGTAAATGAGGCAGAAAGTCAGATCAGCAACCTGGGACTTGGCCACAATATTTGTGATGCCATATGACAGCAGGGTCTACCATTGGACAACACATTATGCTTCCAATATTGGTGAGGAGTCAGATTAATGATTTATTATAATAGACATACAGTGAACTCTCGAATATCCAGACTAAAAAGGGGGGGGGGGACGACCTGTCCAAAAAAGCTGATTGTCCGTATCTTCCGACAAATATACTAAATGTTTAAAAACAAAAATGTGGTATGGTATTTTACGGCATATAGGACTCGTGGCCATATAAGACGCACCCTCCATTTCAGCAGGGAGTATTTAGGAAAAACTTTTGTGTGTATTTTCCTCCTGTAACCATAGTTTTCTTAAAATAATATATACAGTACCAGTAAATATGAGGAATAAATAAAAATACCAATAAATAAGTTACAACAAAAAATATTGTAATGCCAAACCACTAAATTAAAGCCAAATTAAAGTTTAACACAGTTGCCATTTGCATAGACTCCCTGCTTCACCATAGCAATGGAGACCTGCTGGGACCCTACCTCTGCCAATTCCCTAGCAAAGCTCCCCACCCCCTGCACTCTGCGCCATCTTCCCGCTCCTTCACTGAGCCAGCTAACTCGTGTGCAAAGAAATGTATATTCCCTTTGTGTTTGCTCTCAGGACAATTACTGTATTTATTTTACCTGTATTGTATATGTATGTGTGTGTGTGTATGTGTGTAGACACACACAAAACACATACAAGTTAATAATTGGAAAAACCTCTCACAAATACTCAGAAAAAAGACAAAAAAGTATTAACAATGTGAGATTCTACCCTCAAGTCAACTCCGTGCTTTGTTATTAAACTTTATTAACAAAGCACGGAGTTGACTTGAGGGTAGACTCACACATTTTAATACATTTTGTTGTCTTATTTCTGATTATTTGTGAGAGGATTTTCCCATTATTATCTATTTGTATGTGTTTTGTGTGTGTGTGTGTGTGTGTGTGTGTGTACACATACATATACAGTGGTCCCTCGGTTAACAAACACAACTCGTTATAGAGGGGCCTTCATTAACCGAAACCATTGTTTCAATAGGATATTGGGTAATTGGTTCCAGCTCACAGAAAAGTACAGTGGTCCCTCGGTTAACGAGCACAATCCGTTCCAGCAGGTTGCTCGTTAACCGAAACCATTGTTTCAATGGGTTTTTGGGTAATTGGTTCCAGCTCACCGAAAATTGCCTAAATTCAACAAAAAAGGTAGAAAAGTACACTTACTTTGAGGTGTGTATGTAGAAGGCTCCTGGATGATGATGATGATGATGATGATGATGATGGGAATTAGAATGGGGGTGAGAAGGATTGGGGTGGAAGAGAAGTCACCCCATGGCACCATTTCACCCATAAAATTTTAGTTCTCTTGGTGTAATTCAAGATTATTTTCTTTAAATCAACACTGCACTGCATTATATATTGTCAATATGTAAAATAAATTTCAAAATGACCAATAATTTGCTTGGAAACAGAAAAAAAGCGTTTAGTTGAAGAGAGTCTCAAACAAGATGTTAACACTGGTGTGTTAACAGGCTGGATGGCACGCCAGAAACTAGTTTCTTTACCTTCAATTATGTTCAATAATTGTTAAAATGACTAAAAAAGTTAATACAGTGACCCCTCGGTTAACTAACTCAATCCGTTCCAGAAGGTCGTTCGTTAACCGAAAAGTTCGTTAACCGAAACCATTGTTTCAATGGGTTTTTGGGTAATTGGTTCCAGCTCACCAAAAATTTCCTAAATTCAACAAAAATGGTAGAAAAGTTCACTTACTTTTAGGTGCGTATGTAGAAGGCTCCTGGATGATGATGATGATGATGGGATTTAGAATGGGGGAGGAGGAGAAGGACGAAGAGAAGGCATTGGGGTGGAAGAGAAGTCACCCCATGGTGCCATTTCACCCATAAAATTTTAGCTTTCTTGATGTAATTCAAGATTATTTTCTTTAAATCAACACTGCACTGCATTATATATTGTCAGTATGTAAAATATATTTCAAAATGACCAATAATTTGCTTGGAAACACAGAAAAAAAGCATTTAGTTGAAGAGAGTCTCAAGCAAGATGTTACCTCCAGTGAAAACAGAGAGAGACTAACTCCTGTTTGCTGTGATAAGAGGCTGGATGCTGCGCTTTAAACTAGTCACTTTACCTTCAATTATGTTCAATAATTGTTAAAATTATAAAAAAATTGAATATTAAACTTTTGAAATTATTGAATAGTATAAACTTCTTGATATTTACTAAAATAGTAAGGAATTTAAGCCCTAGAACCGATTAATGTATTGGCGGGCTGATACTAAAGCTGGTTGCCCGGTCAGTGCAGGCGAAAACATGTTGAGGTCGGGTAAGAGTTCACAGGCTGGATGGCACAGAAACTAGTTTCTTTATTTCATTATGTTCAATAATTGTTAAAATGACTAAAAAGAATATTAAACTTTAAATTATTGAATAGTATAAACTTTGATATTTACTAAAATAGTAATGAAATTGCTCTAAAACCGAGTATTGGCGACTAATGCTACATGGACCGCCAAATGCAAGCTTAAACATGCTGAAGTTTCGTAAAAACTCGTAACGGAAGTTAAGAATCTTATGGAAGGTAAAACGTTAACCGAGGTGTTCGTTAACCGAGGGACCACTGTACAATGCAGGTAAACGAAATTACTGTCTCTAGAACGAGTGGCTCCCTGTCCCGGGCGAGAAAATGTCAGCTACTTTAAAACTACCCTTAGACATTCTTAGGTATATCCAGGGTGTCATACGTGAATTAAAAATACGCGAATTGTCAGGGCATGCCTGTACTACTACTAATAATGTGTTTAAGTAATGAGATATTATTAATTCTGGAGTTGGGTTAGGTAGAATTTAGCCTATTGGAGACAGCAACTGGGGATTCATTAGCTTTCAGGAGACTGCAGCTTCACATACAGAATGCAGGGTTCTTCTATGCCTTAAAATTTGGTAATTACAAAAATTATTATTAGTTTGCTTGTAATGATTTTGGTTTTTCAATTGTTTTGGGGTAAAAGTATTAAAAATTCACTCTTAAGTAAAAGTACAGTACAGTATACAGTAGTATATTGTTTTAAGAAAACTATGGCTACAGGAGAAAAATACACACAATTTTTTTCCTAAATACTCCGTTAAAATGGGGGATGCATCTTATATGGCCGTGCGTCTAATATGCCATAAAATCCGGTATGTACAGTAGTTCTATATAATGATGAGTCTACCATAAAAAATTGGAAATTACAAAATAAAGTGGTGTAAAATAAATGCCAAGTGTGAAATGTCTCCCGGCCATTGCTTTTTATTCTGTTTTACAGAAAATGGTTTAACTAGTGTAGCTAGTATGTTTATTACATACTCGGGCTTGAATTATATGTTGAGAAAACAATTATTTGTTAAAATTTATTAATTTTTATTACAAAATCTTACTCCATATAAATATCAACACCATCTTTGAAATATTATCATGTCGAGTAAGTGTATGTACTGCTGGTGGTACAATAGTGGTGTTTGTAGTTATGGTGGTGGTGGCGGCGTTGGCCTTCCAACTCTTGAGACTAAGTGACGGCCCTAATAACAGTAGTCCTCTCCAGCCTCGGACAGGACACATGATGACTTTGCTTCTAACGTGGACTTGGTGAGTGTTACTTTACTGTAGTTTATCATAACAGAAAATTATTTGGCTTTTTCCTCAATACACCATTTGGTAATCTTTTCACTCTATACGGGACACGAGACAGCAAACATCTGGGAAATTCCCACGCTGCTCCAGGCTCTCCCTTAGTCCAGGAGCATCAGAAAAATTTTAGGTCAGAAATGGAAATAATTTGTCAAAAGCTGAAATTTTCAGCAATGATACAGAAATATGTCTAGAATAACACATCCAAACTACGCCTCATAACATCTTGAGGAATTTTTGCAATTTAAGATTATCCAAAATGGCTGCCATGATGCTAGAATCCCATAAAGCACACACATGTATTCAGGTACACCACCGATTTTACGGCAGCCTTGGTTCCAAAGCCTTGCCGGATTATCCGTTTTGTCGGATCAACCGAGGCCAGGTAATAATAATTCAACAATACACCTCTGACCCACTAATTATGCACCTCATGTGTCTCTAAAGCACCATGGACTGCTAGAAACTTAAATTAAACAAATGTGAAAAAGCCATAATTTTGAACATTACTGTACACATTTTGTACTCAAATGTACTGTACTACACTAGACTAAAAATTTTATCTCTTATGCAAATTATGTGATGTTTATACTCAAATTAATCACTATTTTACAAGGATTCCAGCCATGCAATTTATATTCTGCTAAGTCTAGTTGTGACATTTTATAAGATAAAAACTTGAAGCCTAAACTGCCTTCATCCTGGCTGTGAGGAAGGGGAGGGGGGTTGGCAGCTATCAGGGAGGGGAGATAACAAGGTGCGTAGTTATCAAAACGCGAGTAGTTTTAGTTTTACCGTTATAAATGTCACTGAATTGACTTTGCAGTATATAATTTGTATTGCTGCAATTCTTGTAAGATAGAGATTAATTTGTGTTTAAACATCACATAGTTTGCACTAGACATAAAATTTTTAGTAATTAACTTATTACAGGTTTACCCTGAGGACAATTATTTCTTTTACCTTTTTTCACTATATATTTAGGAAGGTGTGTGCAGATAAATGAGTAAAAATAAATGAAGAAGGTTACACATATCTTCCTGAAAATATGAGTTAAAAAACTTGTACACAAATATACTACACTAGACTAAAATTTTTATCCCTTATGCAAACTATGTGATGTTTATACTCAAATTAATCACTATCTTACAAGGATTCCAGCAATGCAGTTTATATTCTGTTAAGTCTAGTCAGCCTAAAACTACCTTCACCCAGGCTGGGAAGTTAAGTGCCCTCTCATAATTTTGTCTGGACTAAAGGAGGTGCCGGACCATCAGTTCCCGGATAATCGGTGGTGTACCTGTATTACTAAGTCACACTTTATCTCTTTAGAATTATAAATGATGACTCGTTACCAAGCTTATACATGTGCAGTTATAGTGGAAAATAAATTGACCCACCAGAGTAAGGCCATCTCAAGGTCAAATCCAAGAACTTACTTATTTCATGATATTTCTCTATATTATTACTGTACGTAATGTCATAAACAGTTACATTACAAGTGCATAAATTAGGGACAAATATCAAACTCAGACCATACTGACAGATCATAATAAGGTTAAATACATGATTGTGGGGCAAAGAATTTTACCTGAAACATAAACTACATTTAACACCTGCACCTGTCTGTATCAAACAATTAATCCATTATCTAGCTATGTACAGTATATATAAATAAATGTGTATATACAGTAATGTCTCGGTTAGCCGGAATCCCTCAAACCTGGAACTCTCCGATAATCAGAATTGAAATTTTCTTGGAAAGTCATTCCCAACGCCGGAATTTTCTGGAAAATTCCAGCTTTGGGAACGATTTTCCAAGGGACACATTTATGGAAAATTCCAAGAACATTTTCCCAGTGCCCGTAAAATTCCGGGGATGGGGGAGTTTTATTCTGGTTTGAGAAATGAAAATTAGGCGCATTTTCTGTAAATTCCGAGAAAAGCTTTCTGGTACCCAGAAAATTCCAGGGATGGGGGATATTTTCCAAGTTTGAGAGATGATATAATGGGCACTTTCTGGAACTTCAGTGAATATTTTTCCGTTGCCCGTAAAATTCCAGGAATGAGGGATTTTTTCCGGCTTTGAGAGAGTCGTCTTTTCACCCGGAACCTCTCGTTTCCGGAAGTGCTCTGCACCAATTGTTCCGGCTAATGGAGATATCACACACACACACGCATACACACCTCGATTAACCGCCCACATATGGGGGGGAAGGGGCCGGCGGATAATCCAAAGGGTCGGTTAATAGTAAATAAAGTCTACGGAAATAAAACATACCTTTTTAAAGTACCTATCCCTAACCTACCTCATTTAAGTCCCTCTTTTTATTTATGTTCATTTGCCATTCATATTTCAATAGCATTTGCTCTAAAACATTAACCACTACAGTGGTCCCTCGGTTAACGAATTACCTTCCATAAGAATCTTCATTTCGGTTAACGAAATTCTTACGAAATCGTGTCAACATGTTTTCGCTTGCTCACCAGGTGGAATATTAGTCCGCCAATACAGTAATTGGTTCTAGGGCTTAAATTTGTTCCCATTTTAGTAAATATCAAGAAGGTTGTACTATTCAATAATTTTCCAAGTTTTATATTAAAATTTGTAGTCATTTTAACACTTACTTAACATAATTGGAGTACTGGAAACTAGTTTTTGGTGCACCAATCAGCCACTTGACTCACCCATAAAGGTGTTAGTTTGTATCTCTGGTCAGTGGAGGTAACATCTTGCTTGTGGCTCTCTTGAACATAAACTATTTTTACATTTTTACAGTACAATTATTGGTCATTCTGAAATTTATTTAACATATTGACAATATATAGTGTAGTGCAGTGTTGATTTAAAGAAAATAATCTTGAATTACACCTAGTGAACCTAAAATTTTATGGGTGAGATGACGGCCTCAAGCATAGGGTGATTTCTCTTCCACCCCCACTTCCTTCTCTTCTCCCTTCTCCTCCACCCCCACTTCTAATTCCCATCATCATCATCAACCAGGAGCCTTCTACATACATAATTGCAGGGTCTCAATTGTTACTCTTACAAGACAACACAACATGCATAATGTAATATCGTTTCTCACTCTTGATTATTTTTTTATTTTTTTTATTTATGGTTATTATTATTTGAATTTTATTTTAAATTGTTTGTATTTTATTAATTATTAGAATTATTATTTGTATTACTTTATTTTTATTTATTTATTTTTTACTTTTTTATTAATTATTATTATTATTATTATTATTATTATTATTATTTTTATTTTTATTATTATTATTATTATTATTATTATTATTATTATTATTATTATAATTATTATAATTATAATTATAATTATTATTGTTATTATTATTATTATTATTATTATTATTATTATTATTATTATTATTATTATTATTATTATTATAATCAAAATCATAATCATCATAATCATCCCCCCACCAGACCTCGATGTGGGTCAATGACCTGTGCCCGGGTGGGCTAATCCCCGGGAAAAAAAAATAAAAAAAATCTCTTGAGTACTACAGTATTCATGTTGTCATTAAAAATGATAGTGATGGAGGCCGAGGCACTTGTTCTTGATTGTTGCTCTGCAGCTTTTGTTGTGTTGTGAGCTCCATGAAACACAATGGTTGTGTCAGTAAATCCGTAGTGATGCGTAACATAAGACATATATCTCCAGTAAAGTTCATCATAGGTTGTCCCTTTTGGCTACAATACTGCATGGAGTGCATGACCACCATCAATAATATTCTCAGGTACAGTATCATGAGCTGTAACTCCAGCTTTCAGAAGTACTCCAAATTTGCTCTTTGATGTCTTCCACAGGTGGTTGTGGGACTAACTCATAGGTAAGGGACTCTTCCATTTCCTGGGAATCTTTTATGACACATGTGATTCTCATCTTGTCCTCCGTTACAATTCTGTCTCTTCGCTTCAGCTTCATATCTGCTAAGGAAGCACCCTTGATTGTTTGAGCAGCCAATGGCCCTATTGTGTGAGCCTGATCACAGTTAACACTAGATTATTTGACTCTTTAAGGGAAAAGGGGGGAGTGCACCCCAAGCCAGTGACGGAAAGAGTCATAATCTTGTTTATCTCTAATTACAGAGCTGTGGCATAGGTCCTCGTGCTGCTCTGAACTTGGAGCATAGAGCCTCACTGATGGGGATACAATGTAGTATGGCATGGGCCCACTCTGACACTGTACTGGACTATACCTTTCAGACTGTAGCTGACAACCCATTCTAAGCCTCACTGCACAGTCATGATGATATTTTGGCTCCTCTGCTACCAAGTCATTAACTGCTTGAACCTGGATTTGAACAATTTCAGCCCACTCATCATTACTTTCAAAGGCATATTTCAAGATAGTTTTGACATAGTCTAAGGTCGTCACCTCACTGACAGACCTCCGTCGTGCAACTGGCTGTCTTCCATTACAAGCTGCAGTGATGTGCTCCCCACAATAAGGACAATCGTTCTTGATATCAAATGCTGGGGTATCACACCGTTAGAAGCTCAGCATCAACAAGTTTTTGCTTCTTATAAGACTGAATGGATTTAATACGAATATATTCTAATCTACATCTTGCCTGCGCCAAAAGTGGTATTTGTTTTTATGTAATTTTACTATATAATCCCGTGTTCAATACTGGAGTCAATTACATGTTGTAGTCCTATGCTGAGAATGTGTGTTTCATCACCAGGAGCAATACTCCCGTCACATAATACATAGAACTCCATCATTCAATCGTAACTTGTAACAATGGAAATATTCAAATTAATAACAAATAAGTCACAAATCAAATGTTTTAGACTAATTATATGATTTAAGAAGAACACATCTCTCCCAATTACCATAGGAACTTTCACAGTTCAACCAAACCGTGATATAATTTGCCCAAGGCCAGTGGCGACCATCGTGGACGCCATCTTTAATTGTGGAAATTCCTCAAGGAATTTTGTGATGTAATTTGGATATGGTACTAAGAGCAAAATTCTGCATCTTTCCTGAAGATTTCAGCTTTTGACGAATTATTTCCATTTTAAATCTAATGCTCCTGGACTACCTCCACTGTCGGCTAACTGTGGACCACATAAGAACTGTGTATTCAATTTTTTAGTTTTTGACCTTATGCTTATTATTTTTTATTTTGTTTGCACATTCTCTGTGCACGTAACAGAATAAAAGAAAATGAAGAAAATTGCTTATACTATATCTAGCCAAAATTACGAGTTGAACAATAACATAGCTCACAGCCTCTGAGCGCTACTGGGTGGCGAGTCACTACACAATTACGTGTCATTTTCATGGATATTATTCCTCGTTATCCCTTGTTTAAGATTATATTTCTCGTTTCTGTTCACTCGGGGATCAAATCTCTTAGCAACCTGTATTTTAGGAACACATCCTGATGGCTAAACGGCACATCCCCTGTACCTTAAATCAATACAAAAGAACACAGAATGTGTGTATGACATTTATTAATGAGTGTAAACATTTAAACTAGCATTTATCATTGCCATATGAAGAATTCTAGAATGGTTGGCGTGTTTTTTCACGCTGCGGTGTGGAAGTACAGACGTGGGGTGAGCATCTTCAGCACGTGAATTTTCTAGCTTTACTCCGTGTGAACAGTCCCATTGATCTTCATTAATTTCTAAACCGTGCAGGTCCTCACACGCAAAAAAACCGCTTGTGTGAATCGGGCCTTACAACGGAATTTGAGAACTGCAGCTAGCCCACTCGGTTTGAAATATTACTGTAGGATACTGTAATTTTTCTTTGTGAATAAGTGACGTATGCTTTACGAATATCAAAGAGGCATGTTAAAATGTCAATAGAGAAGAGACTTAAATACATCAGTTACCACTAAAGGATGAAAGCAGCGAGTCTTTCACTCACACAAGCTCAAGGATTAATGGAAATTTATTTTCAAATTAGTTCCAACACTTTTCTGTGTCCTAAGAACCCCAGATTTTCAACCAGTTAGACTGGCTGACTTTTCATGAGTTGCCAAATACAGGTTCTATTATAAAATGGAGTATCATGACCAATTTCTCATTTTCTCTCTTTCAGGTTATGATGCACACAGTAGGAAAATTGGCTGACTAGGTTGTGGTGTTTCTCATTACTGTAGATTTTGTATTAAAACCTGAAAATTACTCTATTAGCAACAATCATCTCACATATTAGGAAACTATTAAATACAATGTTTTGGGCATAGAGAAAGGTACAGTAGCTAAAACAACTATCTGTGCAGGTGGGGGTCGATATGCTCCGAAATTTTACGTGCGACTAGTGACGGCCCTCATATACCAAAATTTATCGTCCATGGTCTCATATTGTTTCCCACAAAGTATGCACAGATAGTTGTTTTAGCTACTGTACAGTACATGATTTGTACTAATGAATGTACCTCCAACAAAAATGTAATTTTTAATGATAATGATGGTTTTGTAGATTTGATAAATGTATCTTTATTTTCTTAATATGTACAAAATAATGTTTATGTAGGAACAGATGTTACATTTTTTATCACCTTTATATGTAAAAGCTTCTGTTGACTTGCTAAAAATAAACTTTGTATATAGTAAATATTAAAGCCCAAAAAAGAAACTTTGGACCCATCTGTATTTGTTTAATAAATTATATTGAAAACATTTACTTATACATCAACCCAATAAAATTATTGAGACAAGTTGGTCACATATATAGAGGGATAAAGAGGAATGACAACAGTTGAAGAGCAGTGCTAGAAAGTGCAGCTGGGGTGTGTTAGGTACAGTTGCCCACAGTTCCACCTGTTACAGAGGTTGATGCATTTTGTGAGATGTGGCAGTTCTGTGTTTATTTACATCATAATAAAATTCCTGGATTGACAATGAGGAACCTTACAATAATAGACAGACTAAGGATGCTAAATAAACATTTCACCTCTTATCTCTGAATGCAAGCATTTCTTGCATGGTCATTGGCTCCTATCTGCTAGACGGTGGCGGTGTAGCAAGGTGTGATGTAAGGAGAGGGAATGGTGAGGGGTGCACCAACACCATTGTGTTTAGTAATGTGTCCTCAACCTGTGAATGCTGATATTTTATAATTACAGGGGGCCCCCACTAGTTTGCGGTCCTCTATTGTTCACGATGACACATTGGATGTACCCAAGAATGTCTAAGGGTAGTTTTAAAGTTACCGACATTTTCACTGCTGGGACGGAGCCATTCATTCTAGAGATAGCAATTTCCTTTACCTGTATTGTAAATATGTGTGTGTGTGTAGACACACACACAAAACACATACAAATACAGTGGTCCCTCGGTTAAAGAACGGTTCGATTAACGAAATTTTGGTTAACGAATTAGTTCCCATAAGGATTTTCAGTTCGATTAACGAACAAAACTTCGATTAACGAAATCCTTACGACAAACGTTTTGTCGTGCGCATCAGCTGATCAGTTGATCGGCCAGTCCGCCATTACAGTAATCATTTCTATGTTAACATTCGTTTCCAGTGGAGTAAATATCAAGAAAATGGTCTCTTGAATATTTTTGCATTTTTTATACTGTATTAAAATTATTGGTCATTCTGAAATTTAGTTAGCATATTGATAATATATACAGTACAGGGATCAGTTTTTGTGTGCCAATCAGCTGATTGAATCGCCCAACAACGCTTCTTAGTTTAACTTTGTTTACAGTGGAGTGAACATCCAATTTGTTGGTCTCTTGAATATATTTGCATTTTTACATTAAAATTATTGGTCATTCTGAAATTTAGTTAACATATTGATAATATACAGTGCAGAAATTATTATGAAACACGAAGAAGGCATTAGAACCAGTGCACTCTGTAAAGAATATGGCATGTCATCATCGACTGCCCATACAATCAACTGTTTGATATGTTAACAAAGCTGCCGGTAATATGACATACACACCTCCAAGTAAGTTAAAATACAGTATTGTATTGTTTTTTATTTATTATTGTACAGTATACTGTACAGTACTGCATTTAGTTTATATTTAATGTTTTGTTAATTCCATTACCAGTATACAGTACTTTGTATGTACTGTATACTTTTTCTGTGAGTTGGAACCAATTACACAAGATTCCATTCAAATAATAGATTCGGATAACGAAATTTTCGGTTAACGAACGACTCTGTGGAACGAATTGTGTTCGTTAACCGAGGGACCACTGTACTGTATACTGTATATTAATGGGAAAATCCTCTCAAATAATCAGAAACAAATTTATTAAAAATGTGACAATCTACCCTCAAGCCTTCTCCATGCTTTATTACTTTATTAAGAAAGCACGGACTTGATGGTAGACTCACATTTTTAATAAATTTGTTTCTGATTATTTGTGTGTGTGTGTGTGTGTGTACACACACATATACAGTATACAATACTGGTAAAAGAAATAATTGTCTTAAGGGCAAATACATAAAGGGAATATATATTTCTTTGTACACAAGTTAAAATGTACCCCCCCCGGTCAGCAAATGTTATTCGCGGATTTGGCGATTCACGGCCGTTTTGAGAACCCAATCCCCACGAATTTGGGGTGGCCCCCTCCCCCTGTATGTGGTTTTAGGTAATATTGGAATAAACCAATAAAATGTTATTTGATCCAGTCTTTATTATGTGGGCAACATTCATATTCTCTATGCTAATTTTATTGCCAAACCTGGGTGTAATGAAACTTAGCTAAATTTCATAAGTTATTGCTAAGCCCACCTCCAAGGTGACCTGGTATTAGATTTATCTGAACTTCAATCGACTAATACTAAGTTCAGTGAGAGGCAGACAAGGGAACAGGTAACACATTGATAAGTAGCCCCCCTAAAATGCATTTGAGTTAAGCACTTCTTGTAAAAAGAGATCATTCACTATTTCTGGGCATAATCAATTCTCCACAAGGGGTAAGAAAAGGTGTATGTCAAGTTTACAGTTATAATTTATTTTACAACTAAGGTTATTCTTTAATATCTAAGCACACTTCTATACAAAAAATCAAAGAGTTGAAACTTTTCTGACTCCTACCCACTTACTTAGTTAAAATGGTTCAAACATAAGGGAGGTAGGGTTAAGACAGCACACATAATTAAGTTAAATTAAATGCTAGTCACTGCACATATCCCTCGCAAAGATGTAAGTCAGAATCATTTACACAATCAATAACACATAGTTAAGTTATACCAAGTAAAAATAATACCTTTACAACACTTTTTTTAACTGTGTAAGATCTCTCGGGTGAATTAGTAGAAGCAGCTGAATAGAGTAGAGATATTTATCCTTGGGTTATGTTGCACTACCCTGGCTGGGGTTTTGATCAGAACTGACCTCCTTCCACTGCCTCCCGAGTATTTAAGGACCACGAGAGTGGGAGGAGCTTTGGATTTAGGTGGGAATACCTTAACTATGTTAATCATCATGCAAGTGTTTAAGACTCCTTTTTTATTTATTTATTTTTTCTTTAAAAATTCAGTCTTTAATATCACCTTTCTATGACAAACTTTACTATTTTCTATTTAACACTAACTTTTCACTACTATACTGTAAAGATAAATGAACATAGTTTTTCTGGTGGACAAAAGGGTGGGACAACAATTTGTAGCTTTGAAGGGAGTGGCCTGCTGTTGGGGTCAGTGTCTGTCCGCTCGTAGAAAGCCAGCAAATTTTGTAGTACTGTATTAACTTGGTGAACACCAGCGACCACCTGAAATTACTAATCTCATTCTTACCCCACCCATCACGTTCATATGGAAACAATTAGAAATATTGTGAGTCTTGCAAATCACCATACACTATGCAATTACTGGTGAGTATGTACAGTATTGCAAAAGTGCTTAATGATACGTGGTAGGGGACTGTCATTGTCTGGCAATTATCACGCAGATTTTTCCAAAACTTATCGCTCAGTGGGTCATGAGACCGAAGCCACAACTTATTCAGGACAAAATCGGCTATAAGTTGGTTTTACTGCAAAAAAGATTGTGACCAAGACTGGTGTGCCTCAACAGTATGTTGAGCACTGGTTGAAAAAATCGTGGGAAGCAGCAGACGGTCAGACACCTACTCACTTAAAATGGCCAGGAAAAGCTAAACACAACACGTCAAATCAAGGAAAGTTACCCAGATTTACTGCAGAATGTGTCAGTACGGAGTGTATCACGTTACATCCAGA